ATATATTCGTTTTTGTGTCGAAATGATATCGAATTTAGCTTTTTCAGAAAGACATTACTTTTACTGTTAGTGTTATCCACAAATCATCACAAAACTCAGTTTGATCATTTTTGATGTTGTTAAAAAGCCATAAAAATTATTTGTGATTGTTACAAGCAGAACGCTTAAATGTTATTTCCTTAAATGGTTCGACTAGTTTAGCTCTTTAAGTGCGAGTGATAAACTCTTTAAGCTGTTAATTATTCCAGGTCATAAACCTAGATTTCATTATAAAAACAAGAGTCCGAGTCAATGATTAAATTTATTCCTTTTGCTTTTGTATTTGTTCATAGATTTCTAGTAATTTTTTTTAATTTATTTTTCTCCTTAGATCATTTCACCCTGTAAAAGTCATAAAAATCAAATCAAGTTCTTATGAACGGAGAACATAAAATCTAGTAAATAATTCATAATTCCAATAGTTACCCTGCTGTGAAATTCCATTCAATTGCACCAAATTAAATTTTTCAAACATGAATTTTAACATGTTTTTCAAGCGTTTGTACAAACATCGTAAACTCAATCCAATTTCAAATGACCATTGTTAATCTTACTCTGTCTGCGATGTTCAACAATTAACTTTTCTTTCTTTTTTTCCATACAATGTCGTCGATTTTCTCGCGTTTCTTTCTTCCTTTCTCTCCTTTTAGTTAATTCAATGGGCGATTTATTTGCGATCATGTGTACACAGATAAACATTATGGGCGGTATCAGTTGGAAAAAAGAGACTTGCAAAGAAGAAGCTGAAAAGTAGAGAAGAAATCTTTTAATCTCAAAAATGTATCAATCTTATGATGTTCATGTAAACAGAAGGCGACTTCACATAAACGAAAAAGTGAAAGACATTGGTTGAGAGGATGCAACATGTGTTCATCTCAACTTTAATGGAGATTGGTTGATACTCACTTAACATTCATTATTGTTTCCCTTCAGAAGATGGTTGATGAATATCACAAAAATAATTATAATGTACATAATAGCAATGAAATCACTTGACTGACAGTTTTAAAATATCGAAGACTCTTTTTTATTCTTTTCTTTCTGTACATTTTTTTTTGTTCAATACGTACATGAACTGAGAAAATTGGCAAGCAACTCAATCTAACTGAGCTGATCTTTGATCTGTACATCGATTACATTTAATCGGGTTACCCTAAAGTCAAATGTCTCTCAAATCATGCATTTTATGAAAGAGAAGCATCTTTTATTCAAGACACTTGGCTTAAAGCATCCATAAAATTCCACCGATCACTCTGAAGAAGTTTGCATTAATATGCTTATGTTAAACAAAAGAAGACAAAAGAAATTTGATAGGGATCAAGAGTGCGCTCACATGATTTTTTTCGCTCGGGGACAAATTGGTGTAAAGATTTTTGTTCCTTTTCCAATATGAATGTTACATATGATTTTATCTTGTCTCCTTTTCTTTTCACTCTTTTATTTTGCTGCAGATATAATCAGAATAATATAATTAAATATCAACAATCTTTTGGTTGTCTTCCTTCCTTTTCCCACTGGATGATTCTTTTTTCATTCTTCTGATGCTAAACATTATAATATATTTAACAATTTTAAATTATATCTCACGTACCAAGTGAAGACACTTTCTGACTCTCTCAGCTCTGCTTGTTCTTTCTGTTCATTCATCTGCGATATCTTAAAGATAAAATATGCATATATGCATTTTAAAATTAATAGTTTGATGTATGAACAAATTATAATATTTTGATCTTACAGAAATTTATGCTTGAATGGAATGTTCGTCTTAAGCATGTATCAAGAATTACAGCAGCGCAATTTTACTGACAAAAAATGATGAAAGGAACATGTATTGAAGACTTTTTATTTTATTTTTTACTCATGCTTTTCTTTGTAGTCTCGGTTGGGCTATCGCTTTGCATATTTTCCTTTTTTTATATAAAGTTCTCTTTTTCTTCTGTTATCTGACAATTTTTCAGTATAAAATAAAAGTATTGAGAAGCATTGAGCCTCGAAGTATTTAATCTTATCGAAATAAAATTATGCGCATTACCTTATGGCATTACATTCGATCACATCACGAGAGGAAAATTTAAAATGTTTTATGTTTTTCTCGAAAGTGTACATTTTATGTCAGGTTGATTATTTTAGGTAAGAATAAATTACAATGATTTGTGATAAGAAAATATTTTGCTTAAGGTTATTGGATCCATCAAAAGTTGGCTTAAAACAGCTTCAAAGAATTTTCACTCGATTTTATTCATTCTGGTAGTCTCTGCAACATTCAGCTTTAAACAGTGGATATTTGAAAAGATTTTTGTATTAAAAGTAAAGTTCAAATGATGCAAGCTTGAATATTTATAAGGAGAGAAAGTAAAGAACTTACCGGTTTGCATTATCAATCATTGCACCCAATTAATCCTCTGCCTTCCACAAGACGGATCTTCAGTTCACTAAAATCGGTTGTTTATGTCACCTACACAATTGTATAATTGGACAGAAACAAAATCCAATGAAAGAGAAAATCATCACGGAATCAATATTCATTATAAAAGAGATTTTGCTCATACTTATTATTAACTCACGCGGCTTATTTCTTTAATTCCAGATTTGCATACTTCTAAAGATATTAATGCAACATTGTAACTTTTTTCTTTGTTTTTGTACATACTTAAATCGAATCAGAGATTCGATCTGTATTTTAATAAAGATTTTTTATCGCTGAAAAGCTTGAATTTGTCAGTCACTTGTGTGGAAGAAGATTCCGTTCAGCAAGTTTGCTTAGTTCCGGAACAAAATAAGGAACGACCGAAAACCCTGACTTGCATATGACTGTCACGAAATATTTTTTGTTGTTTTGCATTCACGGCATTGCGTTATAATAAAAAAGAACATAAAATGTTAATTTTCATTATCTTGATATCTTTTCATTAATAAGCATTGTAAATATCGCTAAGTCGATTTTAATACTAGAAACAGTAAAACTTTATTGAAAATGTATAACGCCATTGAACGAATCTTTATTCTGCTTAATTGTTGTTCAAGGATGCTCGAAATGATAACACAACATTGTAGCGACTCTTTAGCGTATTTTACATTCATAAATCTTATTCAACTTTGGCTTTTTCCCTTGTCGTTTTGTGGCCGCATTCTGCTGATTTCTTAAAAACCTTCCAGCTTCATTCATTGAGCGTACATAAAAATTTCTATCAATTTGCATTTCGTGCGATCGAATGTGAAATAAATTATATTGCGAATTTATTATGATTAATTTATATTTGAATGTTTTCCTGGCTCTTTTCTTTGCTTATCCTTTGCTCGTATTTATTTTTGAGCTATTGGAGGTCTCAGCTTTGTTTTCTTTCCTTCTTTCTATATATTGATACAAGAATTTACATATAATGAATTGCATACACATTTGGCACCCGCATGTGCAATAAAAAAAGAAAAGCGACAAAATTCCATTGAAAGTTCAGAAATATTTTCCCGCTATTGCTTTTAAGTTGATTCTTGTTATGCAATGAACGGTATTTATGGATAAATATGTGGTAGAAATGTTTGTTTGTTTTCAAATAAGATCGTAGAATATACAACATCTCGATTATTGTTTAAAAGATGTGAAGATTGGATTCATCATTTATTAGCATGCATAATCAGTTAAAAATCTGAGTGCAAATTCGATGATCAATGTAAGTCGTCTCATTCGTGTTAACTTGTTTCTTGTTAAAACGCAATATATTCAGAAAAAAAGAAATAAAAATTTCTCGCACCAAAATACAATTGTTATTTGACCATTGGAAACATGAAAGAAGAGTATTCATAAAACGACATGCATTTGCCATTCGCTAAAATGGATCGAAAAAGTAAAAAAAAACTTCTTCCTTTCTGAGAAATTCATCCGAATAAAACTGTCAATAAAATAATTTATTTAATCATGCACTGTTAAAATCGAATAAAAGAACACGCCGAAGAATATTTCATGAATAAGGAGTGTGAGATGGGCCAGCACTGTAAGCTGTTTACAGTCGATTCGATATGGTGACTTTCATGACAGAGCCTCTGGCCTTTCTTGTCGAAGGAATGCTTAAGACTGTTTAAAAACGATGGCAATGAAAATACGCATGATAATCACATATAAATATAAATGATATGTCAAAACAAGATAAAAAAATAATTCTTAAAATTATATTAAAGAATTGTGAAGGAAAAGGAGAATAAAATAAAAACTTCTATCCTTCTAATCCGTAAAGAAAAGCGACAATAACAAGGGCAATGTTTGTTCATATTATTCAAGAAAAAGAATATTTTATGGAGGAAACAAATGTCTTGCCTTTTTATGAAAAAAAAAATAAATAATTATTATTAATGCTGGTGGACTTGCAGACACTGAAGACATAAATTCTCAAAAAAAGAGTAAAATTAGTGAATGAGCGAGGCAATGGGACATCAACAGTGCAAACGGAAATAAGAAGAAAACTTTTCTTCTTCTTCTTCCATGCTTTGAAGTAATATTTCTTAAATAAATAAAATCGCTTGAATTTTTTTTATTTCAAAACTCCTTTTAAATCATCCACAACACTGCTTATGATAAAAAAATATTCACACCATGTGGCGGAATTATTTTACAAGAAAAGAAATAAGAAGCGTGAAAAGAAGAGAATTGAACATCAAATATGAAGAATGACAATTTTTGAGTATTGGGCTTGGTTCATAAATCGCAAACTTTGAAGTTTAATTTGATTGTTAGACATTTAAAATCGAAATATTTGATTGCTTTCAATCATGGAATGAATATTCTAGATTTTTTATGATAACATTAAGCATGTGGGAAGTTCGTGATAATTTCTTTTATACCACCCACCACGACTTTTTAATTCGATACTTAGTCGAGTGATTAAATTGTGATAAGATTTCTTATCAATTAATCGTAGCAGGTATAAATGAAATAAAATTTTTCACTTCAATTAGTTTTCAACTTGAAAATGAAGCTGGTTGTGGTAATTTTGCTTGCATTGTCGTCTTTCGTTACAGCACAATGGGATCCCCAATGGCTTTCAAGTCGAAGTGCAATGGTTCATTTATTCGAATGGAAATGGTCAGACATTGCTCGTGAATGTGAGAATTATTTGGCACCTAATGGCTTTGGTGGAGTTCAAATTTCACCTCCTACAGAAAACACTGCGATTGTCTTAGATTGGTTGAGCACAAAACGTCCTTGGTGGGAGAGGTAAGAAAAAATTTCATGACAAATTAAATTTGAGAAGTGAATTGAATTAATTTGAAAACAGATATCAGCCAATTTCATACAAACTTGAAACAAGGTCTGGAAATGAAGCTGCTTTTGCTGACATGACTCGTCGTTGTAATGCTGTTGGTGTAAGAATTTATCCTGACATTTTATTAAATCATATGTCGGCAACATCAGGACCAGGAACAGGATCGTCAGTTGGATCAGCAAATTCATCTTATCTTAACTTCCCAAGTGTTCCATTTACGACAGAACATTTCAATCCTTACTGTTCGTTAGATTGGAACAGCCAAACAAGTATCCGCGATTGTTGGCTTATTGGACTTCCCGACCTTAACTTGAAGCATCAACACGTTAGAGACAAACAAGTTGAACTTTTGAATCATTTGATTGACTTGGGTGTAGCTGGGTTTAGATTTGATGCAATGAAGCATATGTGGCCAGAAGATCTTGAATACATTTTGAGTAGAATGAAGAATTTAAATGTGAATTACGGATTTGCTGCCAACACGAGGCCATTCGTTGTCGGGGAAGTTATACAAGGAGATGGAATTGTTTAGTATGATTGCTTAGCGCAACTTGTGAAATAATTAAATTAATTTGGTTTCTTAAACAGCTCACATTATACACACTTAGGTGCCGTAACTGTATTTGAAGCATCAAGGACACTCGGACAATCAATTCGTGGACATGCAAGCGTTAATGAATTAAAAGATTTTGGAAGATGGTATGGTGCAGCTTCACATGAATCATTAATATTTGTTGATAATCATGGTGAGAAAGATTCTTTAGGAAATTCACGATAAAATGTTGAAAAAATACTTTCCTTCAGACAATCAACGAGATGGTGGACTTCCATTGACAAACCACAACGAACCTCGAATCTATAAAGCCGCAACTGCATTCAATCTTGCTTTCGATTTTGGAATTCCACGTTTAATGAGTTCATTCTATTTCACACATCGCGATCAAGGTCCACCAACTGACGGAAATCTCAACATTATTTCACCATCATTTGACTCCAATGGTCAATGTAACAATGGTTGGGTTTGTGAGCATCGATGGCCGGCAATAAGAAACATGATCGCATTCAGAAATGCTGTCAAAGGTACAAGTGTTGAACACTGGTGGGATGGTTGGAGTCAAATAGGTTTCGCACGTGGAAATCGAGGATATTTCGTTCTTAATTCTCGTGATAACGGTGATGGATTGTATGAAAGACTTTACACTGGATTATCTGCTGGAACTTATTGCGATATGGCAACAGGCGAAAAAGTTGGCAACAGTTGTACAGGAAAGAGTGTCGTCGTTGGTGGTGATGGCTATGCACAGTTTGATTTAGAAAGAGGTTCTCAAGAACAGTTCATGGCAATTCATGTTGATGCCCGATTATAGAAGTCTTAAAATGCTAAGTCATAAACATTAAAGTATGCAATAAAAGAAATCTTATCGAAGCTTATCAAAATTATTTTGTTGATTCAACCGTATGTGAGCCAAAAGCGATTGAAAACAGAAAAAAATATCAAAATAAAAGAAATATTTTACAATCTAATCTTATCATTTGAGTGCTTTGATTTTCCTTCTTTTTAAATAAAAAAAAGTTTCTCTTCAAGTTAATCTAATTGACTGTCGGTAGCTCATTCATTTAAAAAGTTTAAATAATAAAACTAGTGAGATAATAAGATTTATTCTCAACTAAGTAAAATTTAATGAGAGAATAACTAAACCTGGTCAAGCCTAAGGCAAAAGTGAACCAACAACAAATACCAATCAATGAATTAACCGGATGATGACCAAAAAATATGCAAATGCGGTTCTACTCGCAAAATCAGCACAAAGCAAAAGTAAGAAAAAATGTGTTTTTGTTATTCGTTTCTTGTAAATAAAATAACACAGTTAAAGAGAGATTCTTGCGTTAATATGTTAATATTATATGATCAGAGTCACACCACGAACACATCTCTATGGCAATATCTTAAGAATAATCTTAAACTTTTCTTTTCCCTCTTCTTCTTCTCCATATTCGTATTTTGACGATCTTAAGAGGTTGCTTCAACTTAAAAAACACTTGAATTAAGAAATGAATCAGTGAAAAATATAAAAATCTACAAAAACAAATAATTATAAAATCAAAATGTGTGTAAATAAAAGCGTGGATCATGACAATCGAAATGAAATTTTTAAGATATTTTGTGAAAAAAAAAATGTTTTTATTTATGTAAGATTTATGATTATTTCTTATTTTCAATTACAATTGTTGATTGAGACTTGATGTGTTGCTTTTGAATATTTGTTGTTAACTTTCACAAAAAAGAAATATTTTGGCAAACTTTGACAGCGAAGGTGAAATCTGAAGTTCATTTTTAATCTCGTGTATCGAAGTCCGAGATGCAAATTATTCGTTTTTGGTTGTTTATGCTTCATATCCTCCTCATCTAATTTACCAACACTTTCAACCGCATGTCCGCATCAACGATGAAAGACAAAATATCTTTGATTGCAAGTAATTATTTCGAAAAATATCAGGTGACGCTTTATGAGCCATTTATTTACACTCTCAAAAATGCTAAAATGTTTCCCGTCACAAGCCCAGTCGGTAAAATGTTTTCTTTAAGCATTTAAGTGGATTTAATAAAGATTTCAAGTTGATTTCTAATTCAAGATCTCATTCGCATCTACTTAACAGGCGATCGAAAGTGTTGGCTTAAGAGAAGGAAGAATACCACAAAAGTCTGAAATATTTTTTAATAAAAATGTCAGTTTTCATACATTCTAAAGCTGTGGCGATCAAGAATGGAGATGGGCTTGGTGTGAAGAATAAAAGAACTTTAAAAGCAACTAAACATTCAAACACAAGAAGAAAACATTTAAAATTTCCTTTATTAATATTAATTTTATGGTCTTCAAATTCAATTCCCATTGCGTTGCATCTCGTGCAATTCACTCGTTTTGTGTATTGCCATGACTAAAACGGTTCCAAGGAAACTTAAAGAAATGCACATCAAAATATTTATCATGTGGTATTCATTCAAGTTTAATAAGCAAATTGTGGATAAATGTAATTAATAGCATAGAACATAAATCTTATTAAAAGCAGAATAAAATTCACGAGTCTCATTATAAGAATTTGAAGGTAGGTGTGAAGCCACCGCACTCGCTTGTTATTGCCTTCAAAGACTTCCGGCCGAAAATGAAAGAGCGATCATCGCTCTATCCAACTCTTCTAGTTATATATTTACAAACGTTGAATATTCTTTTATTCTGCGCGGCATGGTTTCGAACGCGATTGTAATAATTGACTCATCTCAAGACGTTAAGACGCAAACTTTTCCATTTTTTTATTGCATAGGAATAGAGAACGATGGTTGAATAAACACATGCCATAAATAATTTACAACACCAGACAAAGACGAAAAGAAAAAGTGAAAATCACCATGAAGCCAATTCATCAAAATTTCCCTTGAAGCCGGACAAACAGAAACATCTGAGAATGATTCTTTATTATTATTGTTTATCTATTTGTTTGGGAAAAGGGAAAACAAATAATTTCATCATAATTTGAGCGAGAAGTGAAGACGAAAAGTATGAAAGTTAAAATTAGACCCTAGAGATCTAACAGTGTGATAAAGCGTGTAATGTGTTTGATTAAAGCGTGATATTTGTTGTGTAAGCAGGTTCTTTGTATCGTGATGATATTCTCTTCTCGGTTTAGGAAAGAAAAATTTCATGTTTACATCGTCTTGACCTTTACAAACTTGCAGCATACGGAGATAATTTTAATAAAATATTTCTTCAATTTCTTCTACTTCACTCCACTTTGTTGCTTTTGCGCTTAATCAGGATTAAACTCACGCAAGATTAATAGGTTGAGAATTCTTTCTTAATGCACAACAGATAACTAACTTGGATTTTAAAGCGTTGCAAAATTGTCGCGTAGAAAAGGAATCGAATCAATATAAAAGTTGAGAATCGAAAGTTGCAGAAAGCATGCAAATTTGTATCGAATACATTCAAGCAATTAGCATTGATTCACTAACTTTTTGAACAGCCTCTACATCGGTTGATTGCGGATATTCAATACAATGAAGCAAATGTATTAAAACTTTATCGTTTAATGTAGAATGAATAATTTTTTGATTAATAACATGAAATTAATTTGAATTTCGTTTTATCGGAATCGCTGAAAAAGAGAAAATAAAAGCGAAACATTAAATTGATTGTATTGTGAACATATTTCAAAGGTTGATATCGTGACATTCTCAAATTAAACATTTTTTGACGAATAATCTGCAAATTAAAGAAAAAATTGTGAGTGAAATAATTTTTCAAAAAATTTGAAGTTCAAAAATGATTTTTGTAATAAAAATGAAAATCAGTATAAAAATGGACGTTTTCGAATAAAAGTTTAAGCAATCAGTATTGCTTAATAATGTTTAAAGTTAGAGAAATGTCTAAAAAATAATTTGCAAGCATTTTGGGCGGCCACCAATCAAAAATTTAAAAGCATTCTGTTAAGAAAGTGTTTATTTCACAAATGATTTAATGTGAAGCTTTAAAAGATTTCCAAATCTTGTTAGCAGAAATTATGGTCTTTATAAATGACTCTCCATTATTCGCGACAAAGTAAAGAATAAACCATTTGGCATTAAAAAACTAATCTCGAGTCATTTTATAGTCATGGCCGAAGTCTTAATGAGTTTTCAAAATCGTATGAAACTTTGTCAACTGTCAGTGAGTTGAACTCAGCTTAAATCTTTTTGAAAGATGCAACCTCAGTTATCAATAACTAATATTCAGAAGGATAAGTTATGCATTTCGGTTTGCTAATTTATTAATATTCTACCTGAATCCAACCGAATTGAGCTGAAGACATGGCTTATCGCCAAATATTTTTCTGAGTGGATTTTGAGCTTCTTTCTCGAATGTGGATTAAGAAACTGTTAGTCACAAATCGCCTTGAATACATTTCCGTCTTAAAGATCTCTTTTATAAATTTTAAATGAAGAAAGAAAATAAAATCGTTTTGTGTAATTCATTAAGCAAAGCGAAGGTTTGTGCTCTGTTGGGTTCTTCGATCCGTTGAGCCTTTTGCTGCATTTATTTTCTATCAGTCTTACCCCGATTGAAAAAAAATGAAACCGAGTTAATAAGCATTTTTTTTTTAAGAACGCAGAGGTTCTTACAAACTGGGGATAAAACGAAGCACACACAACGGGCGCAACAGGGGTAAGAAGAAGCAAATCGAAAATTGATAAATGCCATTTAACCATTAACAATGTCATGCCAATAAATTGCAAATTATATGAAAGAGATACAAAAAGGAATGGAACGCAGAAGAGGGAAACGAGACTTATCTCATTTCTCATTTATTTTAGCATATTTTAAGTAGTTGATAAATTTCTGCTGTGCGCCAACAAAGTCATTCATGTTGGGAGTGCCTAAACAATAATGTTTAATGGAAGGCAAGAAGAATATTGTTTGGATATTAGGATTAGCGGTGAATCCTATAAAGTGATTTTCATGCTTGATCTACCTCCGACAGTGAGCTTAAGAAACCCATAAGTGATTTCTGTTAACTGTAGCTTCGACAACAACAACATATGATCAGCAAAAGACTTGCAAGAAATTTTAATACTCATGTTGATACCGAAAGTTCAGCTCATAAAATCGATCAGATTTGTAAAACGAATGTTGGTCGCATGTGGATGTCATCGATGTCGTGACATTTAAAAGGCCTCTTTAAGAGATTCGAGAGACAAATTGAAATAGAAATTGCGCGCTTCACGACTTAATGTCTGTTTGAAATGATAAAAAGTTGTTTCTCTTAAAGCGATATTCAATTGACAGACATTCCATTCCATCAATTCATTCAAGTGATAACAAACGAAAAAGCTTTCATTTCTGCTGTTTGAAAATAAACTACTTAGCATGAACAACTAGATGAGATAAATGAGAGATTTGTACAAAAAAAATTGCAGTGAATGATTTAAGAAAAATGTTTCACAAACCACAAAAGATTTGAAGCATTTATCCAGAAATAAATCCAGAAGTTAAATCTTTGTAGATAATTTAAGTTGAATGATTTTTGTATATTTTTCATTCTAATGACCATAATTAATCAAACACCATTCATAACGTTCGTGCTTCACTTAACTTCAATGTCGTTCAAAGAATTTATGTTAATTTTGGCGTCTTGCTATGTGTTAGATTCAAATCCAGACAAGCTTCATGCAGGATGAGATCAAGATTTGAGAATTAACATAACATTATATCCTTTATCAATGTTTTATTCATTTTTGATCTGAAGTAGCTCGACAAGGCAAATATAAAGTTGATTGATATCCGAATGATTATTTCAGGTGTTTCTGAGAAGCAAGCGCTCAGACGCAAAGGGAATAAGAGAACAGTAAGCTGGAATGTTTCGTGAAACCTTATCCCCAAAACCTCAATGTGTATCAAGTAGAAAACAAAAAGAGATTAAGATGTTCCTTCATCAAAAGTAAATAAGAATAAAAAACCGAAAGTCTACAAATTATGCATGTAGTCGAAGAGCTTGTCGAAGAGTAACAAAGCACATTTAATTTTGTTTTTATTTTATTTAAACGAGAGAAAAAAATGTTTCACATGACTTAAACACGACTTAAAGCCACACAGTGGACTTTCTTGTTCAGACATTTTGACATATTTGAAATATCTTTTGTATGTTTATATTTCCCTTATTTTGTTTTGTTTTTCTTCTCTCATCGGACTGAATATTTATGAACGAATCGAATCAAAGCAAAACAGCAGAAGAGAATAACTTCAAATCGAACTTCTAAGCTGATGCTTGAAGAGAAGAGTACAAAATATTTTGCTGGAGATTACTTAAGAAGGAATACAGAGAAGTATGAAGTGTAAGTATGAGGTAGATTTGACAGTTTTGTAACTTTAAGTTAAAATAATTTTAAAATAATATTCACAGTTTCAAATTCTTGTTACATGACCTGCAAACATTTCCCGCAATCCTAAAACGACATATGAACTTCTGAAGCATTCCTCAGACATTCGAAAAAGTCTCAATCAAAAAATGAAGAATTCCCAAAGAGCCACATCTAATACCGACAAGTATTTATACCTGGAAATTCATGGAGGTCACACAGTAGTGACTGAGGGTGTATTACAAGTTTAGAATTAAATATAAAAGAAATCATCATCATAAAAATGTTTACAGAAATGAATCACAATTTTTAGTTTCGTTCTTAACATTTTTTTTCTTTCGTTTTTTGAAGAAGGCAAATAGACTGAAAAATTTATGAGATCAAATTAGATGTGATTTGTCGAAGAAGTGGATTTAAAGACTTGAAGATTTCCAAAACTGATTTGAGTAAATAAGCGGAATCAAGTGTTTTGTCGCCAGTCTCTGTTGGTCATATTCATTCCACTTAGATACACTCGTATAGCGAAAATAAAAAAAAAAATTTCGATGTGTGATGAGAATGAACTTGAAATCATTTGTCTTCAAGGCGGCTTGTGTCTTTGAATTTTATTCAAATGGAAATTAATTAGAAACAAAATTAGATTTGATTAATTACAATCAATTATGGATTACACTAGGAGTTGCTTCGATGATCACTGATCAGTTATGACTGACGGGGAATAATCTGGAAAGAGAATGAAAGGAATTGGAGCCACCCAGTGGGTAAATATGTATTGCTGGTCGATGAAGCTGATTAAAGTTAGATTGTCATGTCAGATTTCGCTTGCTTAAACAGCGAGTTTCTTCAACATATTCCATTAATCTAATTAACGAAAAATTCAACTCATTTTATCTTCTCTTTTTATTTCTGCATGAATTATTATTTCTTTACCATTCATTCAACGCTGCACTTCTTTTTTCTCTCGTTTCCTTACATAAAATTTTTCGCCCTCGTTCCCCATTCATGGAAACTTTTCACTTAAAGCACTTTCGCATATCAATTCATGTCTGAGCATTAAAATGGGAATGAAAGAAATGTAATTTATAAGAGTAAGAGGCGAAAGGCTATGGCGTGGAAATATCATAATTTTAAAAAATCGTAAATGTCATCTTACGACCGACGCAGTCCCTGCACGTCGTCCGCATGTAAGCATTATGATGAGTTAAATAGTCTAACACTTTTTATGTCTTATTATTCTTCTCGCCTCGTTCTTCTTGCCAATATATGCTTGTGGTCAAGTCATCGAGCCATCGCATAACGACGAAAAACTGTGAAGAATAAACCGCAAACAGCACTCAAGTTGCATCCATAGGCAGACGTTGTTGAGTTGATATGCACATTTCTACTTATATGCAAAAAAAAAATGAGAAAGAATTCACAAATGCGAACATATTCTTTCCACTAATCATAAATAAATAAAATATTAATTAAATAAACCATAATAAATTTAGTCTTACATTAAACATCACGTACTAGCACATTATTGCACCTCCTTGTTATTATTTAATTTCTTTCCCCTTTTCTTTCTTGTGCATTCGTCTTCTTACACTTCACTTGAAGACTCTCTTATTTCATGAACTCATTTGTTTTGTGATGATGATGATGATTCTTTGTTCTCACCACGGCGTGTTGTTATGCTTAAAGATTTGTGTGAGATGTTGTTGTTGATGCTAACAATGAGATCTAAATTATCGAGAGGTCAGGGATGTCTGACGGAATGAATGCTTTTATCTTCTTCTTCTCCTTCTCCTTCTATCTCTCTCTCTTTTTTACTTCATTTAATATAATTGACAGTACATGGGATGTCTGTGAGATTCATATCTCACAAATATAATTTATTAATGTTTAATGTGTTTATCATTTATATGAAACAACGCAGTTGCTTTCTTTCAAGGCCACACACGAGACTGAGACAGCAAAAAAAACAAGAAAAAATTCTCAACACTCTGATTAAGATTTAATTGTTTCATTTTATTTCTTCAACTCTTAAATTGAATTAAAGAAATTTTATTTTATTCGCTGTCGCTTTCGTTAAATTTATGCTGCTCTGTCTAGGTTTCTTATGCTTAATATTACACAATTTACTCGTTTTTCGGTGATTTACTCTCGATTCGAATGCCGTTTTTTGCTGTGGGATTTTTTTTTCCTTCTCTACTTTATTCTTTTTATTTATCGAGTTTAGCATGCATTTGCTTAGCGCGGAACTACTTTTAAAAGGAATTCTGTATTGCCTCCCGCGGGCGCTTTTGCATGTTCGCTTTCCTTCTCTCTCCATTTCTCTTACTCTCTGACGATGCGTTCATTGTGCAACAGCGAAATGCTTGCTGCTTTGCTTACCGATTTTTGTTGCGCTCCTTTTTTTTATTTTTGCGTTGGCAAGGCTAACAAAAAAAATAAAAAAAAAGAAATCTTCCATAAAATTCAAGAATACGAATTAAAAGCAAGCCTTAGGGATAAGAGGCTGCTTTCTTACATCAGTTATGAATCGAATCATAGTGATAAGCTTAGCTCAGTGATGAGCAGTTAAATGGAGAAGAAAAGTTTTAAATTGAACTTCGACGGGACAGAATGATGAAGAAGAGAAGGCAGCTTAGACTGATAAAAAGTTTCAAATGCTACACCGATTAAACATCCCACTCTTTCAGAATGATTTGCGGAGTGCTTTAAGAACAATGGACTCATGATAATTTCATTTGTCTTCTGCTGCGCCAACAACATAAATTTTCACACACTTGGGCGATATTGCAAATCTTCTCGTGTTGTTTGCTTCTCTTCGGTTCTTTCCGTTCGCTGCAGTTTGAGAATTCAATATTCTGCTGTTGTTTTTTTCTTCTGTTCACTGTTCTGCCTACATCATTCATATTTCAGGCAGCCAAGACGGTTATCAAAGACAAAGAGTTATGAATGCAAGCATGTGAGAAATCTTCTGTAAGAGCTTTTCTGTCATGTTTCACTTGCTTACTCAACCACCAGCGAATCATCATAAACATCAGAGAATATCTGCAGTTATAGGAATTTCCTAAAAATTCTAATTCCAAACATCGTTGAAGAATGAAGACAACCGTTCATTGCGATTACATGATGAATCTTCGCAAGAATCATCGTTCAACAAATGAAATTCCTTCGTCATTTATTTTCTCATCCATCTCTGAGTTATTTTTCGGTGGAAGGCATGCTGGTGCATTCTGTGACTCGAATTCCTTGCATCATTTTTTAACCATCGCGATATGCCATCATCAAAATTTATATGACATGAAGCCGATGGAGAGAGCGCTTCTTCAAATATCTTGTTCTCGATAAATGGGAAGCCGAATAAAACGACATCGACAGAAATACTTTTCATACAGATATTCCTCGAGGAAAGACTTCAACATTCTTCGCTCTTTCTCTCTCGCTTCCCTTGTCGATATATGTAAGCATACGCAACTCACCGGCGACAAAAACAATGATGTTTAAAAAATAAAATATAATATGTATCAGCAAACGACATATTTTACTTGTTATTATTATGTTTTTACGCGTTTCACAGCAATAGCAGCCCCATCATGCATAAACATGTATGTAACGCACTCTTCTTCATTCTCCACTCATGTCGTGTTTCTTCGAATTCGAGCAAAATTCTTCAAGTACTCTTTTTCTTCTTCTCAATATTTTTTTTATTATTTTTCTTTTAATAATATCCACGACTGGCTTTTAGTTTCCTCATTGAAATAAAATCACTCACACTTTAGCACAACCGCAGAAAAAAAATCACCAACAAGGCTGTAGGAAATTATGAAATTATACCTGTTTTCATTATTTTCATTTCTCTCCTTATTTCATTCTTGTTGTTTCTCATGTCGAAGCCTTGGTCGAAGCGTTTTGCATTTTATTAACATACGACAAATAAGAGAAGGAGAGTGAGAGCGAGAATCACATTGCGTAGTGTTGCATGTGTTTGTGTTGGATATGTTGGATATTTCTCATCTCTTCATGATGTTGAGCAATCTTGTCGTGAGAGAAAAGAAAAGCTATACGGATGCATGGCTTGATATTAGAGACATGAGAAAAGAAGGCATACTCAGTCTTAAAGCAAAGTCCATCGCGATCAGTCGGAATTTATTTTTACCAAGTTCTTTCGTTCTTTCTTATGTTCTGTTTAGTTTGAATGAAAATAAAAATCTTTCGCGTATAAAACAATAAATTTGCTTATTTAAACACACAAGAGTCTTCAGAATTCAACAGTAGACAATAAATTATCGGACTCAAGTTTCGTTTGGTTTCAATATTCTAAGTAAGCAGAAAAAAAAAATAAAGTCAAGATTAAGGAAAGATCGTCTTACTGGAGAATCAATTTTTCAATCAAACCATCGGCATAAGCAAACAATTGCAAATTTCGTGTGATGAATTTTTATTGTTTTATTGAATCGACGTCTTTTGTGGAGCAATACGCGCAAGATGGTAAAATTTGGATAATGTACAACGTTTCGTGAAAAGAAATTGTTATATTTTTTTTTTGTTATTCATTCGTTTCGAAAATCGCATAAAAAAAAGCGAAAGAAGTGCTCCAGAAAGGAGGAAAAATCTCGCAGACAATATACATATTTAGAGAAATAAAAACAAAAACTTTAGAAGTGCAGAAGAAAAAGAAAATTTGAGAGAAAACATTTGCAAGATAAAAGCCGAAATCTAAGATAACTGGCGGTGAAGCGAGCACCAGCTAAGAAAATAACAAAAAAAGTGTTTCATTGCCAATAACTGAAAATCTCTCACGAAACAAAAAAAATCATAACAAAAAGTTTCTAAAAACTTTGTATTGATTATGCTGTTTAAAATATTCATAGAAATATTCACTCCACCAAACTGAACTGGAAAGCGTAGATCTAGAGTTAAACAGCACAAGATATCGGAGTCGAATTATAAATATAAAAATAACACAAGAACTTTGTGATGGACTTAAAAGTGTAAGAAAAAGCATAAAAATCCAAACCAACAAAGAACAAAACAAAAAAAAAGCACACGGATAATTTCTCAAACAATAAATTATTGAAATAATTTGTAAAAGACGTTTCTTCTCGCGTCGTCTTCATCGGGCGTTTAGCTCTTCTTTCTTGTGTGACAAATAACAGAAAATATAATAAAATAAAGAAGATAAATAAGAAATTTGAATATTTGAATATTATTTCTTCAAAGATTTGAAGAGTGATTTTCTGGTCGAAGAAAAATATAAAATAAAAGAAAAAGAAGATAAAAAAAGGCCCCAAGAGAAGAAGTTTGTTGAAGAAGCATATGAAGAGAGATAGAAATAAATAAAGAAACAAAAAAACCTGTGAAAGAAGTGATTTCCCAAATGGTGAAATATTAAAATTATTAAAAGAAAATAAATATACATAAATACACATTAAATCGGGAATTAATTCGTGTTAAATTCTCCCGTCTATATGTGAAATTAATAAGATATTCGTCGCAACTAATTTGTTGGAATTTGTCATCATTGAGTTAAAAATTATGTCTGTCAATGATAGTCTAAAGAAGAATGATAGGACAGTTGTAATAGACGATACAATGCTTTTATTGTTGCGCAAAAAGCGACGATCTTTTTACCACCAAACGTGTCTACTCAGTGTCATGGCAGCTTTTACAATAGGCTTAGCTATGGGCATCTTCTTTCTTCCTCTAATAGGATTAACGTCAGCTAAATCCCCAACAGATACCATATCACATTCACTGCAGCAAAGTCAAAACGATTCGCTGCACACTCAACAGCAACAGCAACAACAACAACAGCAAAAGCAGTCAAATGTTATTTTATCAAGGGTTGGTGACTTGTATTCGAAAGTACATAAATATGACTTCAAATCGGCGAGCGCAAATAGAAATCATAAAATTAAAAATCAAATTCATGAACTGAAACGTAATGGCAACAGCTTTACACCGACAACAATAAATAATAATTTCTTAAATCCAACCATCTATTCTTCCGTGTCATTTATATCAGATGAAAAATATTCAACGGAAAATATTTTGAATAGCTGGAACAATGGAAAGGCTAGAAAAGTAAATAACGATTATGGTATTGAAGTTGATGATGATGATGATGTTGCTATTGAGATACCTGACGAAGACGTCGACGACGACGACGAAGACGACGATATGGAAGGAGGCATGAACAGCAACAATAGTCAGTTGAATAAAAATATGAATAACGATTTCGATGATTTGGAACATGATAATGTGGTTGCCGCAGTCGATTTATTGCAGCAAAACAAACGGCAATTCGATAATGTTGATTCCACCTCTCTAAATTCTTATGAGAAAGAAAACAATGAAACATTGCGACGAATTGTCGATGATGATTTTTATTGGGGTCAAATTGTTGAGAATCGTTTACCCGTCGGTTTTAGCAAACGCGAAACGGAAAACTGGCGAAATTATCTCGAAAGTAACACCACAGAAATTGTCAAAATCGAACAAGGATGTGGTCGCATGCAAAATCGTTTGGTAACATTTAGCGACGGTTTTAAAGCATGTGTAAGGTATCGTCAAAACACTGATCAGATTCAAGGTGAATTGTTCAGCTTTTACTTGGGAAGGATTCTTAATATTACGAATCTTGCACCAAGTACAGCTGCTGTCATCGATTGGGACTCCCGTTTATGGTCGCAAGTGAGAGAACATATCACTGAATCTCAATGGAAAACCTCGCGACCTATTGTGCTGACAAAATGGATTGCTGACTTGGAGCCTTCAGGTATTCCCGAACAATTTCGTCCACTCGAACGACATTTAAATCGAGAAGACATTCGTAACATTACACTGGACGATGGTGTTACGAAACCAACTCAAATATTGATTGATCGATTGAAGCCAAAATATAATGCCGATAGCAATCAGAATACGAAAAAGTTATGGCAGAAGAAGAAAATCGTTTTGAATGATCGAATGTTTGCAAAGTTTGTTGAGCTTGCACAGTGGTCAGATTTGATCATATTCGACTATCTCATTGCGAATCTTGATCGTGTTGTAAATAATCTCTACAATTTCCAATGGAATGCTGACATAATGGCTGCACCAGCACATAATTTAGCTAAACAAATCAATTCACAATTGTTAGTATTTTTAGACAATGAATCGGGTCTGCTGCATGGCTACCGATTATTGAAGAAGTATGAAGCTTATCATGGCCTTCTACTTGACAACTTATGTGTGTTTCGCAAGTCAACAATCGACTCGTTAAAGTATCTTCGAGACAACAGTCCCGGTGAATTATTAAACAATTTATTCGAGAGAACAACTTCCAAGAAGGTTCGTGACGTTCTTCCGCCACTTCCGGAAAAGTCAGTGAAAATTCTCATCGATCGAATTGATCGGATACTCCAACAAGTTCAGAAATGTCAAGAAAATTATGCAAACAGATAGGTTCAATGCTTTTGATTCGAAATGTTAATTGTTGCCAGAAGCACTTGTATGTATATAAGTAAGAAAGAATTACTTTGACTGATTACAAGTAAAAGAAAAAATATGTGATTAATGCAAATATGTGCATTGTAAATAATTCTTATGAAAAACGAAGCACAGACACACACACACACACACACACGCGTATATATGTATGTATAGGAATTAACAAGGAATGAAATATCTTGTAAAAATATAAAGTACAATGAAGAATGTATTTGACAATTATTAAAAAGAAGTTAAGAAAAATTAAGAAATACCAAAAAAACAATGAAAATCTTTTTCTTGTTGAAAAGAAAATTAAAGATGGAGAAGCTTAAGAGAAAATATGTAATGAGTAGTCGTTGATTACACATCAAACATAAATTAATGAAATGCTTTGTCAATTATGTAATAAATTTAAATTTTCTTAAAGTCATTCTTTGCAAAATTGACAAATTATGTTACACTCAAATAATGTAAATATTTAGATCTAAAAAAGGTAAAAAATATTTTCGGGGGAAACAAATCGATGCAATTTCATTGAAAACTTGCCTGCATTCAAATGTCATGCTTGCAATGCGATAAGATAGTAACAAACTTCTTGACATGAATAAGTTCAAAAAACATAAAAATATCGAGAACTTAAGTGCAGAAAGAGATACGAAGAAGCTCCATTGGAATTTCGGGTAAAATTCTTCGTATTTTAGTTTGTTAAAAGGAAGGGAAAAAGACTATTTATTCAAATAATAAATCGAGACCTGAGTAAGTTGTTACCTCACACATATTTTTTTCTTTCTTTCTTTTCGTTTTATGTTTTCTTTCCCTTGTTCTTACCCAACAAATTCAGTCTTCTTCTTCCTCCACCACTGAGATCTTTTGTTTCATGTGCATGACTACAAACAGCTAGTTATACACAGAGAAGTTCTTTTCATGAATGAACAAACGACAGCGTCAGTAAAGGAAGAGACAGAAGAAGCAACTCAAATACTCGACACGCTCAGGTAAACTCGAGCAAGCAGATCAGTATCGTAAATCGATTCTATAAAGAAAAAAAGATGGTGATCATGAAAATAGAGATGCCCTTTGTTCACCGACTGATTAAACGAAATATTTTCTTCTTAATATCATTTTGTTGTTATGTGTCGGGGAATGAGCTTACGTTACAAATCCCCGAAAAAGTAAAGAAAAGAATTTGTGTAAGAGAATGAATGAAGACACCTTTTTCTTGTTCTCTATTCGGCATATTTTTCTTTCCAGCCGCTGGAACCGAACAGAGATTAGAGAAATGATATTCCTTATTTCAAACTATTGTTATAGTTCCCAAGATTGTAAATAGGTCCTCGTTAAGGTCTTTATATTGCAGGCATTTACTTTCCTCCGAATGTGTTTAAGTTATTTTTTATGATTAGCAAACAGAAGAGTAAGAAATGAAAGAAATCTTTTGTTGAGAGTTCCTTTTTAAAATAAGGAAAGAAGTAAGAAAGGAAGTAACTTGATAAGCTCCTCAAAAACCTCTCACTCACCTGATGATGATAAATAGTTTTGTCCTTTCTTTCGGGTGTCAAATTATTGGCTTTCAATGGAAATAAGTAAGAAAAATTCCTTTCTTTGATTTTAAAGAATGAAATATTTTTGCGGCTGTGCTGAGAACTTTAGATTTTTGTAGGAATTTTAAATTCAATAAGAGATTTTCTGATGAATTGCCATTTGAAGATCAAAACTTGACTTTTACTTTTAAACATGATGTTTTATTTGTAAAAGCAGTGACTCATAAATATCTAGAAGATTAAAGTTCACGAGATTCAGATTTATTTAACATAATTATGCAATCAAACTCAAGCATCAAAGCCGACAGCGATTAACAAAAGAACATTTTCATTGTTCCGCATGGGAGTCGCTCATGAAATCGATCGAATCATGTTATCATTCATAGCATTTGATTAAATCATTAGAAACTGAAACGCCTCTCCTCAACAGCAACACTGAGCGCGGTTCTCAAAGAAGAATAGTAAACAGAAGAAGAAAAAGAAATTATGATTAATGATTATGTGATAAATTTGTAATAAAAGAAGAAGTTTATTTGAATGTAAAATCATCATAACAACGCACACACATACATATTTAAAATATTCTCTAATTCAATTAATTATAAAATGTTAATAAAAAGAAAATAAAAAGAAATATTTTTGATTTGAAGATGGAAAAATATCTAAAAATGTTCCAAGTTGTTTTTATTCACATCATTTAGAGATCAATTTTGGTTGTGTTTGTCTTTGATTATTAAGATTCTCTCTCATTTCATATCATCGTTGAATTTAACTCCAATCCGTGATTTGAAATTCATTTAACATCTGGTTGAAAGAAGAATATTTACAGACACACACGCGCATAAGCTTTCAAGTCGATGATGAAGACGCAACTTGAAACTTGCTAAACGCTGGAATCTGAAGTGGAAAGAGAAGAACAACAAAATTTACCGACGGAGACGAAAAAAAAAAACAAAAAGAAAGAATTTTCAAAATGTCAATGTTTGGTTCAACGCGCAACTTGTGTTGGTGTCAAAGCACAACTTTTCAACGGTGATGAATAAGAATGTCTTATAATAATATTTCAAATTTATAGCTTAGAAATTATTGCTTATCATTCAGCAATCATTAATCATTATTAAGGAGAAAATTTGGAAAATATTCATCGCGTTCCGAAGAAATTCACTCTCAAAGCGGCATGCTTATCTATTCAAAAGGTTCGTTTGGAAGAGAGAATTGATGATGATTGAAATGAAATCTTTTTACTAGCATCGTGGAACAATGCAGTGATACTGAGAGGCAAAAGATTGAGTTGGTAGTAAAACCATCGGCGATGAGGTGATAAATGTGCCACAATCGACTGTATAAATATTCATAAAATTAATTATCGCAGAAGCTTAGACACTATAAAATCGCACATAAACAATAAAGACAAAATGGGAAAAGATCTTCGAGAGTTTCTTTTATAGCCCGGCTATCGCTTATTTGTTTTATAATTTCCTAGCATTCTATCTTAATCTTTGCATTAAAACTCTTCCTGCCTCTTCTTTATAGTATGCCTAACAGACATTTTGTTTTATTGATGTTTCGCGGCGGAGAATCAATCATGTTTAACCATAGCCTCATTCATCATGAGAGACGTCAACAGAGATTTGTTTAAATAGATTTTCTGGGTCAATTTCACTTGCTATGGAGTGAAAGAAATGTTTTATATTTAGTTGACATATTATTGATGAAAAATTATTTCAATTTCCGTTTGTTGAGTCAACATTAGAAAATGTGATCATCGTTTCAAAATCAACAAAGAAAATATAAAAATCAGACCAAAATGTAAGCAAAAATAAATTATTTTTTTGTTCCACATTTTTTCACGTGCAAAGCCGCAGGAAAAACACAAAAAGTCTTAAACATGACAACGATAAAAGACGAAAGTGTTCTTTCATTCTATGTTCGCTTTCAAAACAAAAAATATTGTCGGTTGTTTGATTTTCTAAGGAGAAATCACGTCACCAAGTTTCGAATGGCAAAACTTACATGGAACTTTAGTCTGTCCACATCTGGGCAAATTTTCTTCTCTTTCTCTTCTCGTTGCTTATGGATTTTATTAATCATTCATATTTACATAATTTTATGAAACATATAAAGTGCCATTAATTACCGTCTAATCAAATGAGACAGTCTAAATGTTTTGTTTTGTTTACTTTCTCCATTTTGTTGTGAATTTGTTAAAATATTTTAACAAGTTTTAAACATTCCAATTAATGAGATGTTTTGGTTTTATTATTGGCAACATTGTAAGATGAAATACAAATGATAAACATTTATCGGAAACATTTGTAGAATGAAATTTAGTTTGTTTGATTGATTTTGTGCATTTGCTAATTTTAAGAAGTTTTAAAATCTTTTTGTAAAATTTTAAAACATTTAAACACAATTTCTTCATTAACTGAAGATTTATGTTGAGAAAAATCATCTACAATGTAGCTGTAAATTTGTTTCAGCTTCAATTCGTACATCTGAATGAAATATAAAATAAGAATTTATTTATCAAAATATTTTGACAATTCCTTCATCATCATCGTCATCAACACGCCTAGTCCACTGAAGGAGATTGCGCGTGGTGACTATTTGCAAAATAAACATCATTATTGGTTTGTGGCTCTAGGAAGGAAATCTCTTTCTTTTTCTTAAACTCAACACCGTTGAAGAAATAAAAAAAGAGTCATGCATAAATATTGAATTATTTAACTGTCATTCGACCGACTAAACACACCTTCCTCCATTCCTCTGAAAGCAAAAAAAAAGAGAGATGACATTATCCAAACGAGTTCCACGAATTTCTCAAATCACTTGAGAATATTTAAGAAGAAGGAAAGTCATCGATTCTACGTGACTTTTTCTTTCTTTCTTTTTTTTGGAAATATGTCTAATCAAATTAAATTGATTTTTGATTTATTAATTGATTAAAGCTTAAAACTTCTTGTGGTGTAATTTGCTCATTTGTCAAGACACGGTTAGCTATTTGCCGTCTTCTCTATTTATATTTAATTCTATTCATTCTTTGAACGATGGGACACCAAAAATCTAAAGTCGAATATGAAAATTACTTCAATGAATCAGAGAGACATTCTCATAATAGAAGTTTCACTTCTTAGCTACGCTGTGATTTATTTCACAACAAACTCTTTTAAACATTTCAATTAAATTCTTTGATATTAACTCGTTACCAGCTTATACGGTGTTTAATGCCAGGAATGGATAAGAAAAATTGTTCACAGTTTCAAGTCCCATTTATTAATTAGTCACATTTTCCATACTTCAACTGATATCTCAGTTTAGGAATGTTGCCATGTTGTCTTTAACATGTTTACTTGTTTGTTCAAATATAGCATCGCGTGAAGGCATGAAATTGGTGGTACACTCAACGTCAATTAATTTTCAATTACTGAGCTTATTACATGCTTATGTATGCTGTGCTTCTATTTGTTTAATTCCATCACTCATTGCATCATTTTCCTGTTTAACATTTCAATTGTAGCGCGCGAGAGGCTTAAATTGCAAAATTGAAATGAGACTTATTGGTCATTATTTAATTTTTCTTTTTATTATTTACCTCTAAATGGAAATCATTCAGTCGATTAAGCTCAGTCAGCATGTCATGAGAAAGTTAACAACTTTCAAAACACTACTCACATGGAATCAATAGCCAGAAGTTATAGAAACATTTAATCTGCAAGCAGAGAGATGGAAAGTTGCAAAAAGCAAAATTGTATAAGTTTAATAATAATATTGGCGTCTGTCACGGTGATGAAATTACTTTGATTATTTGTTAACGAAACTGCACACACCACTTTGAAGACAATAAATTTGGATTGCAACCTACTGATGGTTATAAATGTCACCAATATATTCAAGCAAAATGCGATTTGTTTCATTCGTTCAAATGACAACTCGCAAAAAGAAAAAGAACAAATTGATTGGAGTTAAGCAGTAACCAACTGTGAATATGACATGAAATGAGTTTGGAAGCCTTGGTGACTTGGCGTGTGTGTCAGGAACAAGAAAAAAAACAACACAAGGCGCAACCACAGCATATGCATCGCAAGTTGTCAATGAAGTATGAAGATAAAGAAAATAGTTTAGTGTCGCAAACGCAATTCATGTTGTGCACAAATAGTGTCATGTCATAGAAGCATTTATGTCAACTTATTGAAGCTTTTCCGTTGTGACTTTGTAAGTATCTTTTTACTTTCACATTCTTGGAAAGTTAGCTGTTTCCAGACTACTAAATTTGTACTGTGACAACATGCTTGCATTTATGTTTGGAAGGTTTAAATGAAGCATAAATACTTGATCGACATAAACTTCACTTTTCAAGGCGGAATTGTTTGTTAAACTTGCATAACAGGGTGGCGGTTAATAGAAAAAAAAAACTTCAATCAATTTGCCACAGTGAAACTTATTGAAAGTTTATCGACTCGATGTCTGTTTATGGCACTCAACAATTTAAAATGTGCTTTAAGCTATTTTAAATGTTTAAAGATATCCAATTTTAATATCGAGATATCTGATACTTTTTTTTTCTCCATTTCTCACCGACCTTAAATTTTAAAACCGCATAAAATTATAATTCATGTGTGCGATCATTTTTCCAAGTGAAATGTGAAAGGGCGCCAAGCGGCATGTTGATTTGTGTTTATTGTGATTTCAATGTCGTAAACATTCCAAAAAAGATTGCTTTTTTGTTGAACTTCTTTTTTCCAGTAAGTGAAATGCCCATCATGAATCAGCGTCTCTTTATTTCCCATAAGTCTGATTAACGATTGCACTTTTCTGTTCAACGGTTGTTGTAATGCGTGCTATCTAAAAATGTTTAAGTTTCCTGTTGTTGTCATTGTATGAGGCTACAATTTGAGAAGAAGCCGCTCCGACACGAAATCAGTGTTGGGTCTTATTCAAAACTTGTAGACTTAAAGTCATTTTCCAATGATTTGCTACAACACTGCATGAGATTCGTTTAAAATCCAAGAAAACATAAAACTTTCAATTTTTCGAGAATTGTGCTCGAAACGTAGCACTTGAAATGCATTAAAAGCAATGTTGATAACAGAATAACTTAAAAATTGAAATATTTTCGCTGTATTGGTTTTCAGAAATTTATTTAGGTCAGCAAGCCGAACGTCCGAGAAAACGAAACGAAATGAAAAATCTTGAATGTCAAAAAATTATTGAACACATAAGATATCAAGCATACTTTTTTTCGAGTCGTTATGTCTCTCTTTTATTACTTTGTAACACATCCCATTTCTCTATCCATATATTTAAATGTGGGTTTAGGGTTTGGATGAACTTTAAGTGGATACATAAAGAACATCGCTTTAAGCACGCTGCACGATCATTTTTGATGTCGAATTAATTGTTGTTTAAGTGACATAAACTTTTGTTCTGAATCCAAAAAAAAATCAATTTATTGCTGAAATGGTACAATTAATATCCACAATGCTGTAGCCTTCAATGATTTTAATGCATGAAATTCAGCGGAAAATTCATTCACTCGAAGCCGCTGATTCGCGGAACAATCAAATTCAAGCTTGTGGAATTGTATAATCAAGTTTGTTCTAATAATTTTTTATTGTGGGTATAAGAGAAGCTCTCGTAGCTAAACTCAATCCCATAAATACGAAGGAATAAAGAAATTTTCATCACTTGAATATTACTCTAAGCTTATTTATGACTTAACCGAGACTTGTTAATTTTTCATATCCACAATGATAAAATGCTCCCGAAGTTGTGCGAGATTTTACAACTTCTTCTGTTCCGCTTCATCGTTGAAGATGTTCAGTCATAAACGCTGAACAAAAGCACGGCACAAAAGCCTCAAAGGGAATGTGAAATCACTCTTTAGCTTGCTAATAAACTCATTTTTTGCTAAGGCGCCGCCGACAACTAAAGACATTCTCGTAATCTCGTTCGTAATGAATGAGCATAGAAGCTTTTACTGTTTGAAAGCAGAACATTACTCATCTATTGGCTTAAACTTGGACAGATTTCTAAAGCTCAATAATAATCTACAATAAACAGAGTAATTTCATAAACATACAGGAAAATTGAATTTATCATTAAAAAACAATCACCGAGTCTGTCATTCTTTCATGTGCTTCAACTTCTGTTTAGCAGTAGGCACAAGAAACTTCTCATAAATTCACAAATGGGCGTCGTATCATAATATCTGAGTAGAAATTGAAACAGAACGAGAAACGAACGCAAAATAAAGCCAACCACAACCAATAAAAGATAATTTATCACTTCGCGACTAATTAATTCCTTAATTGTCAGAAGTAAAGCATTAATCACGTATTATGGTGCACGACAATAAAATCTCTTATTCATAAGTATTATGGAAACGACAAGGAGCAAAGAGGATAAAAAACAAATTTGAATAGAAAATTCTTTAAATCTATTGGAATTAATTATCTGAGTTGAGGTAGAAATTTGAGGTGTGAACAAAGTGACACTTTCATTAAACTACTTTCGATTAATTCTCATAAAAATTAATGTTGAACATTATTCATTTTATATGCGATATAAGTTTGTTTTGTTAGTTCATCAACATAAAAAGATATGTTTTCCAATATTCATGATTATTTAAATGAGCTTAACAATTCAAAATGAATTTATGTGCTTTAGTAATTTTCCTTTCATTATACAATTGTTGTAAAATTTAGTATGTAAATATTTGAAATAGAAAATGTTCTGTCTTACTTTACAGAGTTGAGTCTTGATGAGGTGAAGGATGAGGTCATAAAAGATCAAGGAAATAAGATCGGTGAATTCCGTTCCGCTCTTTAATCTGACTTTTTATTCACAATCCAAACATTCATGTGTGCATTTGAATATTTTTATTAACAACTTTATAAGTAACAAATAAATGTTCGTTCAATTAATCTATAAAAACTTTTGCAATCTCACTTTGAAGATCACATTTTTTGTATTTCAATGAGAAAATAATTAACATGTGTACATAAGGTCATCAGTTGAGAGTAACTCATAAACCTAACCATTATAAAATATTTATAAACAAATACAGAGTATTAAAATGCAATGTCGTAAACCTTTTTCTAATGAAAATTCTCAGCAATAAAACTTTATTATGAGAATTTATAAATGATGTGAAGTCAAAATGTTATGTCTTTTGATCTGAAATAATCATAAAATTAAAATCTAAAAGGAGAATCACAAAAGTTTTTTTTCATTTCTTTCATCTGACCTAAGATTAAAGAAATCCCCAGTTTAATATCTATAAAACTGTTATTTGAATAAAAGCAAAGCAAAAGCAGTGAAACATTGCATACGATAGGAAAATATTTTCTCTTGTTTTCAAAAGATTTAAAAAGAGAAATAAAAATTTTAAATCTAAGGGGTCATGGAATGAGTATCGTAGAATAAAGATAGCAATAAAAGTAAAAACTGAAACCTTGAAACTTTCCATATAAGTTGGTGATTCCCATAGCGTTGTTGACTATTAAAAGTAGCCGGAGGTTTCTTGAATTAAGCTTTCAAACGACCCGAAAACCTCCAACCTCAAATTCAAGACAAGTCGAGTTTGTCAACATCAAAAGCATCAAGAAATTAATTTATCGATAAATCACATCATTAATGTAATAAGAAAGGAAACAGAATCGAAATCCCGACCACGAGAAAGAAATAAAAACGTTCAATAGAATGCAGTTAAAACCGATAATTTATAGACTTTTGACAGCAGCACAAAATGAATGTAAATCATTTCGGAGAGCGAAAAGATAGTAAAAGAATTTCTTGTGAAATAAATATGCAACAAACACATGTGACTTGAATTGAACTCAACTTTCAAGAGAAGTTTTGACAAAAAAAAATATCAGTTTTTAATTTCATTTCATTTTTACGTTGTTTAGAGTGAGTGATAAAATATCAGATAAAAAATGTGCATAATTAATTAATTTTATAGCTTGTTAAAAATACATTGTTTGTATAATTTTTAATAAGTTCTTCGAATAAAACAAAAAAATTAATGTTCAAACATTCTTTTTTCTTCTTCAAGTGTTTTAGCAATACGGAATTTATTAAATGTTTGAGATTTTATCAACAATTCACAACAATAAGTAATTTTCCTTAGAGCGTTTAAAAGTTTAGCAACAAAGCAATGTCATCGATCATTGCAAGTAGATAAATTCCGAATCTCATCTCTTTCAGCTTATAATGTGGAAAGTTTTAGGTTCACAATCTACCAGTCATTGCAGTCTTTCGTTTATTAAAACACAAATTTTTAATTTTAGCGTTTCTTTTAACTTTTCTTTTCCTCTGTCGATGTTTTTACTTAATGTTCACAATTATCATCAAGTCATGCACGGAGATGGAGAGCGAGGAAGAAATAAAGATACTGTGACATTAATTTTTCATTTATTTCTTATGAAAACATGCTAGTCAGTGAGGCACAAAAGAAGCAGGGAAAAAATGTCTTATCGGAATGGAATGTTGGAAATTTACTTTGACGTCACTTTATTTCGCTTTGATGCTGTTTCTTCTTGTCTCATTCTCTGAGTGAAAGCATCGTTGTCAATTTTTTCTGCATAAATGTAACTAATTAACTCAACCATGTATTCTCAACCGTATTTTTTTTCTCGCTCTTCTTTCAGACAGAATATTAATTTATTCACTGAATGAGAAAGAAAGAAAGAAAAAACAAAGCATGGCAAATACCGATGAAAGAAAAAGAAAAGTTTCGAACAATTTGCACATCAAAAAATCTTGTATTTTAGTTAATGTTTCTTTATGATAATAATATGATAATGGTTCGAAAATATTCTGACACTAATTTAACACTCTGCGATGGAAAGTTACATTCACAGAGCTTCATATTATTGTCACAGTTTCTAGTGTGCGAAAGTTGCTGTTGTTGTTCTGTCTCCAACAAGTTTTCTGTTTTATTTTATTTTCCTTTACAGTTTTTATCATTGAGAAATGTTATTAAGTTTAAGACTTAAAACAGTAAGTTTATTTAAATATAAATTCAACCAAAACTTTTGTTTTGTACTAACTTAAATAATACCCTGAGACTTCCATTCATCAACATCATCAAATAAAGATAAAAAATGAGAAAGAAGGCGAAAAAAAAAGAAACTTTTCAACGAGAATTGAACGAATGGTGGCAAAGTCAAGTAGCTAGAAAATATGGAAGTGTATTAAGTTAATCCACCATGTTTAAGCTACAATTATTCTTCAAGATGATGAAGCAATGAGCCACCATTCAGTGTGATGTGAACATGCGAAGAAGTAAGAAAGAAAGACACAAACGTTCGTTTGTTATTTATTTACCACCACCAAAGAACAATTGTACCAATAATACCGGCAGCCAAACAGCGGAAAGAAATTGAAAATGTGTACGCGGAAAAAACTTTGGTGTGGGTACACAAGTTAGCTACTTGCATTAAGCATTGTAAACGTCATACTATGTTCACAACGGATCATACTGGTCAATCGCTTCACTTCTTCTTTAACCACATTGAACCTCACGTTCCTTGTTCTTTTCCCTTCCAATCAAACAGAGGCTGTCTCGATTGCGCTGTGTCATTAAACGTAATTTGAATTGAATGGCAAAACATTTCTCTCTGAATTTCGTTTGTTGTCGATTCTCTGATGGATATCTCGAAACCGACAAATGGTACATGCTTAAACACACCGAGTGAGGTTTATTGATACAAACATGTTTAAATGTCTGTTTATGTATGCTTCAAAATTTTGCGTTTATTTTTTTGCCTTTCGCTTCCATATAAAGTTGATAATATGAAGAAAAAGCTGGAATGAAAACGACATGAAATGTATAATTAAATAACCCGTTGGACAGTTTGAAACGTGAACAGTGGAATAAGAAGCGATTGGTGATGTGTAAAAACTGCAAATAAAAAACAGTGCAATTGTACAAGGGCGGAGCGTGTAAGTAAAACTTGCTGTAAGTGCATTTGGGATGGGTGAACTTCCTTCACCATTTTCACCATTTCTTACGGTTTTCAAAACAGTTTTTTGGAGGTTCACTTTATGAAGAAATAAAAAAATGGTTTCAGCTTCTTTTTTCTTCAACTCAACAGCATAAAATTCATTCAGAAATGGAGAATAAATTGGCAGAAGTCGATGAATTAAGAAGTCGACAGTTTTTGTCTTTACTTTTGTGACAGTCGAGTAAACGAAACAATTAAGAAAACGGAAACTTTCGACTTCATTTTTATTAGTCAGTTGAGTAACTTTTTTTAGGGAGCACTTGACTTGTAGAAATAAAATTAAATTTTTCTGAATTATTTAAAGAATGAATAAAACTTTTGTTCATTTCAAAACGAGCTTTCGACTGCTGTTTCTTGGTTTGTGTTGGCGACATTCCATTTCCTTGATAAATAATTTTAAATTCAAACCAACTTGACTCTTCTTCCCACTTTAATAAAACTTTTTTTTATTATTTTCTTAAAGTAATTGTAGTAATTGACTTGAAACATGGCTTACATTTTTCATTCCATTCTAATGGAGACGAGTAATTTTTGCACGTTTTCAGTTCATTCTGATAGATTACAGTGGCAGATCAATTTACATACAAGATAAAAATTCCCAAGTAAAGAAAGAATGGAAGCAGTTTTCTCAACCTGCTCTTATTTTATCTTTGATCGTGTAGAGAAATTGGCTTAAAAGATATGAGTAATTATGGATAATTTAAAAGCAACATTATGCATCCGCTTTATCATTTGATTATCATCTGCTGATAGAAAAGTGCAGTGTATTGAAAGCATTTTCAAACAACACATCGTTGCTTTTTATTTTTTTCGGGGTCGCCTTATCCCATCATTCTCAGAATGAACATTCCTTTGCGAATCCATCAAAGCTACGATGTAAGAATTAAGTATCAAGAGAGTTCCCAGAGGCATCCATCAATCGACTTCATTTTATAAATATCATGTACATATTTTTATGGGAACAAAACACATTTCTTTACTCTTTCTCTCTCGCCAGATGCATGTTGCATTACACTGAATTCATTGGAAAAAGGGGGAAGGCAGGGAGAAATGCTTCGTATGAAAATATGTTCATCGAACCGCATCTATAATTATATTCTGATGGAGGAATGAGAGAATGTTATGATACATAATGTTAATATTATTAATAATTTATGGCCACTTCATGAAATCCCTTAAATGGCATAAAATAATCCCGCGCTACGTGAACATGAAAATCTCTAAGGCGTCGCTCTCTCAAAACAGTCTTTCTTTCATTCCGATCCGATTAATCACTTTTGATAAGATAAAATTTGTTTTGCAATGGCTGAAGGTGATATTTAATACGTGGAAACTTAAAAATCCTTTCGAAATAATTTTTGCAGCATGCAATTTGAAGGATGTTTAACAAAGAAGCGAAGTGGTTAACATTAAGTTACTGCTGCAGTAGTTCACTCATTTTTCTACCATTTGATTAAGATTAAGATGAATAAACTTCGTTGATCTCAATAAACTTTTGATATAAAATTATGACTTCGATAAATTTATTTCCACAAAGAATTATTTGCCTGTAAAAATCAAGAACTTTAAAACCCATTAACGATTTGTAACGCAAACACTCCTCAAACAGATTTATGTCTTTAAACGATCAACAAAATGTTGCAAAACATATAATTATTCAATTTTATTTACTTCTGTTTCCTTGTGACTCCTTCAGACCAACCCAATTAAATTCTAAATTGCCTTTTAATGAGAACAAATTCTGATCTTGATGTTATGAGTCACTAAAATGCATTCAAACATAATAAAAAGAACAGCTCATTTAGTGATGATTGAAATAACTAATAAACTCATCTAATACTTTAATAATAGGGCGGAGAGCATGAAAACAATCATCATCATCAAATTTAATTATATTGTGATTATCTCATGTACACACAAGTTGTCGAATTAGACAAACCAAAGAGCAGCGCCTAATAAATGAATTGAAGATGTGAAAGAAAAAGAACCGAAAAATTGAGAAATTTTCAATATCAAAAGAAAACAGAAATCGAAATTTTTCTCAAAAGAATTTCTCTTGATCGAATAAATCGTAATAAAACAATCGAAAACATTCTCGAAGACAAATAACTTTTAAATTTGAAAAACGAAAAAGACGACCGACAAGTCCATGGAAATAAAATGTTTAATTACATTAATTATAGCTTTTAAATGGTTGTCTTTAAGATATGTAATTATCAAATTCTCAACTTCCAATTTTTATTCTGAGAAAATGAATTAAACGATGGTGCTGTGCCGAAAGAGATGCCACCAAATGAGAAATACCAGAAACAGCAAAGCGGAAAATGTTTTAGATGTGAGAGGAATCTTTGAAAGACATTAATGAACGTTATGATTTGTTTGTCTAATATTTGACGTTTCACCTTTTACTAGAACTCTTCATGCATGTTCAAGAAAGAAGCAGATAAGACATTGAGTCAATCCAAAATACATTTCATAACTCATAAAGTTACAATTTTGATATGGTCTACAATACTGTCCCGCTTTAAATGATTAATGATAATTCTTTATTCTTTCATACCATAAAAAGCAATGCAAAGACGACGAAATGGGATGCTTTATAAATTCACGATAACTTCCAGCACTAAATGGCTAATGTTGTCCTTATTTCTTTCTTTTTCAGAAAGCTTAACCGAATGCGAATTTCATGAATGAACGATTCGTGTTTGCCGAATTAATATCACATGTGCTTACCATTTATTTCTCGTTGATATCTGCACAGTTGAAGAGAAAGCAAGACGCTTTATGTGGGGCCTTTTAGAGTTCATTTATTAAGTTTTTTTTTTGCTAAGCAACAATAAGATTCTGTTCAACACCCACGCTTTTGCTTTTTTGACAATGCTTTGTATTTTTATCGCCGCTGCAACTTTAAGAGATTTTCAAAATTACTCTCATTTGAAAATTAAACTGTAGCTAATTGATCCTTCTTTTTACAATGCTTCACAAATCGCTGCCTTTCGTCTCTCTTATACTGTTCTTTGAATTTTGAATGCCAGACAAAGACAGTTCGTGAATGCTTTTTTTATGTGAGCATTGCTTTGACGTTTTTGTTGAAAACAAAACTTGAAAGAATTGAATTCGATTTAGTCGATGAGAAATATTCGTCGATAATTTGTTGTCTTTATGAAACTTGATACTTTTTTTTTTGTTCTCCCAATCCAACGCAATCTCTTTTGTCTTCCCAATTAATAAAAAAAAGGTTTTGGCTTTCTTCTTCATTCGTGGAGATATCATAAAAGGAAACAAAACTCTACAATTATATAGACATGAACAAATGAAAATGAGATGTGTTTAGTCGGTCGGAAAACTTCAAATTAAAAAATATTAATTGTTTATGGCTTCCTCGCATTAATCATGATGGAAGAAAATCAGCTTCTACTGTTTCTTACAGAAAGAGTTTAAAAAATGTGAAGGTTTGTGGTTACAAATCAAATCAACTTATGTAACTTTTACCTTTCAATCCTCTCCTAATGTCACTTTTGGCGAAACATTTTGAAGGAAATTAACTGAGCATTCCCATCCATCTTCTAACTCGTCGAGTTTCCGAAACTGCTTAAGCTGGCGTGACGCATTTCCATAATTTACTTAACGTCCCAAATGTGTCTCTTCATTGCTCTTAAATCGTTGTCTTTTCTGCGTCGTTTGTTTTCTCTTCCCAAGAAGAACTGTTTCTCATCTGCCTGACAAATTTGTTCAAATTTCTTACTCAAACACATGAACTGAAGACTGAACATGATCGCAGTGATGGAGCGCGCGGAACAACCAACAAGAACGAATTTAAAGATAAATATGAAAGAATTATGAAAAAGCAAATAAACATCAAATGAAGATAAAGAACGTGAAATAAACCAAGTCAGGGATGATGAGCGCAGTGATTAACTGGGAGTGTCAGACCGCCCCATTACCTGCCCTTTTTCATCTTTCCCTCATGTGATAACAATCAATAGGATGGTTAACTTCATAACACCAGATTAAAACATCTCTCATGCATGCGGTAGAATCACTTAAGCGGAACTCTTGACTTCATAAATTGTCTACCGATATCTTACAATCCAAACACACGTCGTCCGCCACACCTGTTTTTTTTGTTCTTTCCCTCCTGAACTCGAAGAAGAAAAAGTTTACCCGAAAAAAAAATATCAAAGAAAATAATTTATTGGCAAATGACTTTTTGTTGCTTTTTTTATTCGTTTCGTTTACAAAATGATTTCTGACTTTGGGAATAAAACAGATTTTCGGTAGATTATTAATTCCTTGGTTACAGAGAGTTACTGCAAATTAATTTTATTTTAAATGTTAAAAGCATTGATGAACTTCACCTTGACAACTTATGTTTAATTTCAGATATTTTGAACAATAAATAAAGGCGTCGAGTTGGTTCCCCAGATGACAACATTAAGGAAAAGAATAAAATTTGCACCCATCCGTATCTTTATATGAGAAATTTAATCATAAAACTGCAGGCATCTTAAAGCAATGCATTTCGAATATAAATTTCTATTCAGATGTTTCCACTTGTAAGAAGCAATTTCAAAATATGGAATTGTCACATTTCTTTCACACACCGTTGTTGATCTCTGCATGTTTGTTTACTTCAACTATTTCTTTCGCAGTTATCGTGTAATGACTCATAAAAAGCCACGATAAAAACATTCCGCAAGAGAGTCAAAGACTTGTCTTTCGAACGCTAAATATATTCGTTTGCATGTTCTTATTGTTTGTTCGATGTCTTATGGGCGTTAAGTAATTTTAATCAGTAGAGCTTAAGAGCTGGAAATGCAATTCACTCTACTTTGATGTGCTAATATGATATTAATGCGTGTACATATATCTTTGTTTGTCAACTATTCACACGCGACATCGCATCAATGAACTTTAAGTCTATTTAGTGCCTTTCAACTCTCAATGAAATAATTTAAATGCACCATCATGAAACTGCATTCGAAGTGGTTACAAGACTCATTCATTTATAAATACTATCGCCATAAATATGGAGATTGTTAGTTAACTACTCGTTAGTGTCATAACGTCTTCAAACAATGAAGAAGCAACATCGAGTCATAGTAAACAAATAATTAAAAATTAAATATTTTACACCATTTCTCATGTGGAAATATGTTAATGGTAAATTAAATTATCAGCAAGGCTTGTATCTTCATTTACGGATTCAAAGTTATTGCGCTTTTGCCATCGACAAGTTTCTTGAATGTCGTTTATTGTTGACTTTATAGATTTGTCTTTGAACGCTCAGCTATTCGATTGAAATTTTTCACTGGAATTGGAAGACGACACATAAACTTAAGGACGTAATGCACTTTAAGTCTTTCATACAACTCTTAATTTTGAATTATTGAAATAATTGAAAGAAATTACAAGAACATAAAAATTAACAACGTAGGTAAATTGATTTGACATTGCCTTAATATTCCATTGAATTCATTAACGATTTAATCAGATTTAATCAACTTGACCAATTAATTGGTAATTACATGTAACTTAAGGAATTACGCGACACTGACACGAGATAGAAATCGTCGGAATCTGCTTCAATTCCAGTCGCTTTTAAATGTAAATTCAAGGCTCGGAACTCATTTGATTTGGCAATTTTACTCAATTTCTTGGATCCATCTTAACACTCAAATTGCACGTACACATGAAATGAAAGTTAAAAATACACACAAAAATAAAATAAAAAGAAATTTCCAATCAACTCGAGAATAAAAGCCAAATGGTATGAATATTCATTAAACGTATATCGAATTGACTACATAAAAAGCACATTGCAATTGAATTTTAATTTGCCAAAACATTTTCGACTCGTTTCATCATTTACGGACTTTATGAGTTCGAGTCGAGAGAAACCTCCGAATATGAAGGAATGAAGTAAAAATGTCAAAAAGTCTTTCACTGGAAATGAGAAAATATCAAGACAGAATCAAAATTTCTTAGTTCCATTCTTGCTTCATCCCAACTTTTCGATTGCCTATATTTATGAACAAGAGAGTTTGAATGCTTTTTTTTCTTTCTTAACGAGATTGGCAGTATACCGGCCATCTTTCCACCGATTCATTCTATAAGGATTCCTTTTACTTAATATGATTGAAATGAAATGAATAAAAAATGGATGTTGAGGTATTTATGTCTCTCTTCGCATCCCCAACATTTCATGACAAAATCCATGCAATGACTTTAGTAAAGGGAGAGAAATGAAATGAAACACAACAAAATGCTTCAAATGCCAATGTGACTTTAAAGCATAATTATAAATTCGCGAGAACAAAAGACGATACAATGATGAAGAAAATAAATATTTTTGGGTATCGTCGAAATGTTACGCGACCGGGAAACCAGTAGCGTAGTAATTAAAAAGAACATGACTAGCAATGCGAATATGGAGAACATTAATCGTTTTGGTGGAAAGGAATGTTAATGAGTCGGTGCTTTCTTGTGCAAAAGGATGAAGACAAATCAAGCACACATTATAAGTTCCAATCCCGTCACTGATGATTCAAATTGCTTACTAAATGTCTATCGATGTTAAATTTTTTTTTTTTCGATGAGGAAATCGAGGAAAAAATTCGACAAGATATTTATGATATTCTTTTCAATATTTTCTTTTTGTCATTCTATTCATCCACGATTTTTATTTTGATGACTCTCTGTGGGCTGGAAGAGAACTCAAGTCATTCATTCTCCTGTGGTAACTCAAAGAGCATTAAAAATTCAGTAATTTTCATACTTCAATCCAGTTTGAAAAGAAGAAAAACGCACATCGAATTGTGTCTGGTTTCTTTCCTTTCATCTCTTTTCTTATTTTTATTTTATTTTATTTAGTCAGTCGTCCTCAAAGCTATAAAAACCATCCGCGAAAACTCTTCAACATTTCTGAATTCGAATGATCGTTTGCTAAATGAACTTTTTTCGTTTCATGTCAAAGTGATTCTTCCTCTTTTTTTTTTGTATCGGGGCGGGTAAGTTTTAAATAAGTAAATGTTATGTTGTAAGTTGTTGACAGCAGACAACACTTCAATTCATGTTTCATTTTGACAAATGAGTTTGTTTCACTAATTGTTAGATCGTTGATAATCATCATTGATCATGAATTCATCTTCATGAGAGTATTTACAGAAACCACAATAACATCAATTAATAGGACAACAAAGTGTTAAACTTTGCACTTAATCTCTTCATGTTAATCTTACATGTGAAACCACTACAAGAATAAAGAAGCGAATCAAATAAAGTGCTCGATTTGTTTCTACAATTTTATTCTGCTTGTTAAACAGTGATCGTTTTTGTTTTATTCACTTTTTTTTCTCATTCAATCGCTTGCCGATCGATGAATGATCGTGATGTTTCTTTCGTATCTCAACTTTAAATTTCGTACATGACAGTGCGCAATATCGAAACATCATCAACAGGAAAAAAAGATTTTTTTCACTGTTCACTTTCTCATATCATTCGTTCTCCTTTTCTTATAATATTTACGTTGCTGATTATTGTCGCTCCAGAGCTTTTTCTTTTCTTTTATTTCGTACCGTACGTTTATTTGCAAAGCAGATTTTTCATATCATTTTAAAGTGCATTATCGTAAACGCAACTCTTTTTGTGACCAATCGTACCATTAATTTCCATCAAGCAGTGGCGTTGAATAAATTTTCTCTGATTGTTCGAAGATAATAAAATCATGAACTGCACTGGTCATCTCCGTTTTACTGATTTTGTTGCGCAACATACATTAAATACAACCGTTTAGCATTAATAGCATCGAGAGAAAAAGTAATCATTTTTTACCAATGTTATCTTTTTTATTGCATATGTTTGACTTTCGTACGAATGGCACAGTTCCTTAACATGTAGTTGTAATGATGACAACTCAAAGAATTTCATGGAGATATCGAAATCGAGATCAAATCAAGATTTTAAATTAAAAATAAATTGAAAGGAACATATTGACTTATTCATACGCTCACACACACACACATAAATGTGAAAATCAAAACAAGAAATCTTAAAAGGCAAAAACAGCAATCCAAGATTGATAATATTGTCAATATCATGTCACATTTGAGAGCAACCAACTTTTGTTGTCTCCTTGTCAGTGTTTCGATTTGATTTCTTTTATTCTTTATCGCTTCTCGCACATTCGGTTCTGGTCTCGTATTGAAATCTTTTTGTCAAATGTCACATCAGTTTGTTTTCTTTCATTGCAAATTCACCGAAGTTACTATTTTTGGTTTTTTCATCTCAAACTCTTGAAACTTCCATCATAAGCATTAATGTGGAGGCAACTTGAAGTAAAAATAACATTTTTCCAACGCAATTCATTTCTCTGCGTTTGATTGACAAATCGGTTTGTGGAAGCTTGCGCACGTTTTGCTTTCATGCAACAGCTTCAATGTTGACGCACATCTTCATTCCGTGGGCTTTGTTTTGATGCATTACGGAAGATTTTCTCACATTTTCTTTGATCAGAAAGCAGGAAATTCGACAAAACATTTTTGTTTTTGCATTTACACAAAGAACAACAAGAAATAAATAAATTTAACTTCTTTCTTGTTTGCCTCGCCGCATCATCGTGTGTCAGTACGTTTCGTTTTGCGATTTCTTTCACCTTTTTATCAATTCACAAAAATATTGAAAGTATTTTATATCCAACTGCAGTTAAAGCTTGTAAGAAGTGGTCAACAAAAAGCATTTCACATTTGACATGATTGTATCTTTTTTTTTGAGGGTGCAAGTTTCTTTTTTTGAGGCTTTTAGCGGAGATGTAATCGGAGAACCAGTGGCGAAAACTTGCATCATGATTATTGCCGAAATGTTGTCAAATTACACGATTTTTCATGTTCACTGCTTTCGACTTCTGTACCGGTTCATCCCTGATGGTGATAAATTGTCATTCATGACATTTTATTTTTTGTAAATGCTTCACTGCTTCTCTGGTTCATGATTGTTCTTTAATTCTGTCATTTGGTAATCGCCTCTTTCTTTTGACTCGTTTTTTAAGTTAACAATATTAATCTGATTTCAATTACATGACTCAATTTGTGAGTGCATTATTAGATGCAATTTCACAGCAATTCGAGTTTGTTCAACTGATTTTATGATGATTTGACATTCACTATTGCCATTGAGAAGGTTTATTGTTGATTCTTCCACAATCTTGAGTCACATAATAATTCCATTAACAAAAGGATAAAGTGAAGAGACCTTTAAATGAGTAACTGCAGTTCTTTATTCCAATATTAAATTTCTACAAATGCAGAAATCACAACGAAAGTCAATAAAACTTAAGTGACGTAATTATTAATGTGACTAAATATAATCTTTCATCATTTTATAGCTTTCTAGCCAATGAAATAAGTCTCACGTGCTTCAAGGAAAAGTAAATTTAATTTAAGATCTGAAATAAATTTTAATAGTTTGATTGAAGATAGACAGAAATGTTTATGAATTAAGATGGCAATAACTTTTTTCTAAGATGCATTTTTAATCATTTTAAATGACTCATTCAGCAAAAATATTATTTCTACATAAGTCGACAAAAAATATCGCTGTTGATTATAACAAAAAACAACCAACAACTGGAATCAATTAATATATTGGCAGACATTTAAATTACTTTTGAACTATTTCATTTATGAATTCTGAAATGACTCACTTTGTAGAACATATTGTACATGTTGCAGGTTTTTGATGAGTTCCTTTATATTGATGACCAACAACAGTTGTCGGTAAAGAAGATTTGTTCAATACATAAACTTGCATAATTGAAAACTTGTGCAAGATGCTTGTACAACTGTTTTGTACAAATATATGTTTTATTTACATTAAATTGTTGCTGAAATCTACAAAGTCATTCAAAGAAAGATATTTGACACAATTTAACATATAACTTGTAGTTTGCATAGCTCATTGCATATTTTTATTGATTTTAATAATTATTACATTGGTAAAGGAAACAACATTAATTATTTGTAATCGTATCACCCTGCATACCTTCACCAAATGTAACATTTGGAAAATTGTTTATTTTTATGGTTACATCAAAGATCAAACAATAAGGAAATATTAAGATTAAAAAACATATAAATTTTCAAAAATAACCGCTAAATTAGATGGTAATTTTTTCATAACTAAGAATTGTTAAAAAGCAAAACTAAATGAGAACGTAAGGAATAAAATACGAATAATAAAATAAATAAGGAATAAATGAAATAAATTGAACATTTTCAAGTTCATCTACTGCTGCTGATTAAGAAGGAGTTGTTCCAATTCATCAGCAGAACGTAATAAGAAAGCAGCCGCTTCTCGGTAACCAGTAATGAGTTGTTTAACAGCAACAGCTTCAGTCACATTCAAATTATGTGGCAAAAGAGGTCGTTTGACTGATAAGTCAGTCGGTCCTAAAAGGTCAAACATTTTGAGATTCTTAATTAAATGATTTAATATCATTGAACTACCTTGCGCAATTGAAGATGAATTGTTGTAAAAGTTTGATGCACTGATAGGATTTGCTTTCTGTATGAATGAGCTACTGAAATCATATGGCGATGTAGTTGGCATTGCGATTGATCTTGTTGAGCTCAGAATTGAACTATTCTCATAAACAAATAAATTAAACAAAATTTATTAAAAATGAAATTTTACTTACTTAATTGAGTTTGCATTTGAATCAGTTGTCGTTGATATAATTGGAGACGTTTTACAAGCTGCTGTACTTGTTGAAACAGATAACGGCGTTGTCAGTGAAATATCCATCGATGACTTTGTTGTTGTGTAAAGAGTTTGAGTCGATTGTGCTTCGGAGGAATGTGATGATGGAATATTCAACGATTGACTGATTGGTTCGAGTCCAATACGCATTCGCTTTGCATTTAAACTTTCATTCTCACAAGCAAGAGCGAGAATTTGTTCAGCCTGCACTGATGTTAAATGTGCCGGAGTTGGGCGTGAGGGCTGATTCTCCCAACCATCTTTAGTCTTCTTATTACGTCGACATGATTTTAAATAAGTGCGAAGGCGTTTGCGAGCACGTTCTGAGAAATCTGGGAATTGTCGAGCGCATGAATCAATGATTGCTTGAACTTTTTCCTTCGGTTGTTTAGAAATTGGAACCATCCGATCAAGATTCTCATCAACGAACAAACGCACGAACATCTGTGAGAAGAAATTGTTTAGTAATTTGACTTCAAAGTAAGATTAAATAAAGAAAAGAAGCTTAAAAGCTTCGACATAAATAAAATTAATACACACATTAAATGCTTTAAGTCTCTCAGGATCGTAGGATGCTTGATCCATTCTTTCATCAGATTCGTCCTCCGAAGCTTCGTCTTCTTCTTTATTATCAGACGGAGAATTTGCTTCTTCTTGACTATGTGACGGCGACAATAAATAATTTTTTTTGTCAAACTTTTTTCTGCACAATCGAAAAAAAAAGATCATTCAGTCACTTACTGGTGATCCGAGTTCGTTTGATTTATTTCCAACATTGATTCCAAGAGCATTCTGATATTGCTCCCATAAATTTGTCATCGTTGAAAGATCGGGACCTGATGTGCCATTACGAACAGCAGCAGAGTTTTGATAATTCCATGCCAACAACATCAATTTCAACTTGTCAGCGTCTTTCAATAAATTTGCGTATGAATCATCCAAGTTCATTGTCTCGTGATTTTCACCATGAGAAATCGATTCCTTTAATTTAAGAACAGTTGTTGAAAATTGTTTTAATTGATCACATAAATAATTAAAAACACGGAAATAAAAAAAATAAAATGAAAACAACTTTTCCACGCTCAATAAAATTCACCTTGTGCAACATCGCACTTGCTTTACGTTTTGCAGCCATATCAATAAAGATGATTAAGTGCTTTTATTTATATACTTTATGTCTTTTCCCACCGGTCAAATTTATATTCCAATTTACGGTTTTGTATCTCGTTCGTTTGAATTTATCTCAAAAACTGAATTGTTCGAGTAAAACCCTTTACAATGCTTCACCATCCGTTTATCACGTAATAAAATTAAAACTTTTATTCCAGTTAGATAATATTTAGTTTTCGTATTATTCACTCTTTTCCATTCTTTTAATTTTTTGATCCAATTCAACGTTTAATTTTCATCACATAAAATATTTTCATTTCAATTCAAAACGAAAGAAAAATTTTAAACATTTTTCCTTTTCTCACTGAAGTTTGAAAGTCTTTTTTCTTTAATCGTCTAAATAACACTGAAAAAATAGAATCGACAACTCGATGTCGGGACGATGTGTTTCGATTGCAAACACCAACTTTTAACTGACCAAAACAAGAATTTTGCACCCTCTATATATTTTATTATAAAGAAGACGGAGAACATCTATCCGTATTATGTATCTTCAAACCTTAGTCCTTTCTGCCTTCTGATATATATTTTTCCCTCTTCTGGCAGAGCACCATCCACCACCCTCAATCTACTGCTCTTCGCTTCTATTTTTCGTTTATACGGATGTGTACACTCACCCGCTTCGTACACTCGCTCTCGCTCTCCACCCTCGGCACATCACACAAAAAATGTATAAACGAAAAAAAAAAGAAGGAAGAAAAAATACTGAGCGATTCCTTTTTCGTATTTGAACAAGGACTCAACTCTCTTCTCATACACATGGTTCCCCCTTTTAGATGTTATGTCGGAAAAAAAGCTCACAGTTAGTTTTTTCTTTTCTTCTTTTCTTGTGTGTTCATCCTCGTTCCATTTATTATTTTGGGGTTGGGGTGATGTGCGAGGACTATTGAGAAAGGAAAGTTGAAGTTGAGTCCATGGTTCTTTGAGATGATTTTGCCAATGCCACCCACACCTCATCCACCCTTAAATGAATTTTTTTCTTCTTTTACTCGTTTCTTTCCCTTTCGCTCTCACACTCTACAGCACCAATTTCGATCTATCTTTTTTTTTCTTCGTTTCTGTTCAACAAACGTCCCACTGTGAGTGCTTTTATATTTTTATTTTTTTTTGGAAAGACAGCTTCCTCGTTTTCCTTCTCGACAGTCTAGTGGCAAATATCTCTGATATGCCAGCGTTACGTTTACACACGATGAATTTCTTTTTATTCTTTTTTTTTGGCTTTGATATGCCTTGACGTTAGGTTCTCGACTGGAATCAAAATATGTGTGAGCCGTTGCTTCGATGATAAACAACAATAATTCATGCTACGCGAGAACACTGCGAGAAATGATTCGAACATATACACACGTTAACGTTACTTAAGCCCCCGCACCACATAGAATAGATAAAGGCGGAAAGACATTGGGTTGTTACTCGACATCGAATCGCTTTTACCATCATTTCGTTGTGTATTATTTAGAAGGAGAGAAACAATGACATTCGGGCACCCAATTTCATTACATTGAAGCATTAGTGGATGTTTCTCCCAGTATCGCTTTAGTTTGCCTTTGCCATTAAGAATAACCATGACAATCCACCACACCCACCCCTTTTACCATCTTGATATCGCTCCAAACACAACACTGGTTCCCAACTTTCCTTTTGTTTTTATTTCAGCCTTCATACAAACGGGCTTCGTATTTTTTTATGCCAACTCTTCTTTCGATCCCAGAATTCCTCGTTTCTTCCTTGTACATACTTTTTTCTCGCCTGATTCCTATCCGGTTCAGAGCCAGCACACGTCAAATAACGAGAACGAAAAAAAAAGACTCAACGAAGGAAATGGTATTGGTGAATGAATTTCCATGTGCTATGTGCGAACGATGAAGGCGAAATACATTTTTGCGAGGGTGGAAGGGAATATCCATAAGGGGTTGGAACTCATTTGGTGTTCTCGTTGCTCGTAAATGGGGTTGCGAGAGATTCAACATCCACCCACACTCCAAGCATTTTCATCTTTTGTGCTACTATTTTTTTCTTCTTTTTTGTATTCAAAAACTAGCGGAATGAGAACGATCCTATGAACAAAGGCAGAACGGGTTTTACTCAGATGAAGCGTAACTAAAGAAAATAACAGAAAAGTAGAGAGGGAGATGGAGATGGAGAAAGAAGCCAGGCGGCATTGAGATGGAGAAACAAAAATATTGCGCTATGAAGGTATTAATAGTTTTTCTTCTGTTTCTCTGCCCTTTCATTTTCTATCCGACTCTTTCATCAAACCAACGGAGAACATCGTTGAGCGACAGAAATCTTCGAAGCTACAGTCGAACATCTTTATTCACTTCATTCAAAAACTTTCACAAAACTTAACTTTCTTAAGTTAGATTTTTTTTATTTAAGAATTCATGAATGAATTTCTCTTTACTTTTTTATCAAATAAATAAGCAAGAAAAGGCAAATGAAAACTAAAAGATTTTCTGTCTTGTCTCTTCATTCATTTTGTTAGGGAAAAAAAGAATGTGGAACCACAACATGTTTGTTAGAAGAGAAAGCATCAGAAAAATCATTACATAGAGAAAGCATTGAAGCAGAATCAAAAGAAGTAAGTAAACTTTTCTCTATGAAAAGGGATTTATAAATTATTTATCAATAGCATTTGGGTTGGGTGCAAGAAAAGGAAGAAAAAGAAGTTACTTAGTGAAAGTAAAAGAAAAAGACCTTAAAAGGATTTTTACGAGAAAGCAGGAAAATAATTAACGAAAAATGTTATTTATATGAAAAAGATCTACTCCATTAAATCCTTTCTATTAACGTTCATTTCCTATGATCAACGTGAAAGCAAAAAGGAAGAAAAAATTGGCACACCAATAAAGTGAATTTCTATCAAATTTAAGCAACCTTTAATATTGTAAACAAATGAAATTGAAAATCACAACCTTCTCAATGAAATTCTTTTTACGAGTTTCATTCTTAAAAAAAAGTTTTCTAAATAAAAAAAGGATGTTTGGAAAATCCGGAGACATTTTCTCATCCCACACACGTATCGCACGAAACATTCAAATTCGTCTCAATACACTCACGCAATTGTCGAGACTCATAAAAATCTGTTTTCTCTCCGCTGAATATCAACAGGTGGACTTTTTTATGTTTTTTCTCCTTTGCTTTTCGTTTTACTTTTCACAGATGATTTTTTGCGTACATTTTGGATACATTTTCTTCTCTTCTCTCGCGCTCGTCTAGTTCGGTATACTGAATTATTGATGCACGATCATCATCAGCTATGGAAATGCGAGAATTGAAAGAACGAAACGTGCAGGCGAAGCGCTACGACAGTTCACACATAATAAACAATGAAAGTTGCTTTCCATATAAAAAGAAATCATTGACATCCATTGTCGGATGATAAGATTCGCATTTGGATATTCACATGTTGTTGAATCATAAAATGTTTCAGCATTAAATGATGGAAAACTATTTTTTCGTGCTTGGACAGATTAGCATTTGGTTTCACTCAAAAGATAAAAACTTTTTTACTTCGGTTAGCGTTGTTGGTTGATATCTTTCAGGAAATATTTCATAATCCAAAGTACTCACTTTTAATATATATTTTTATAGATGTTTCGCTCTCGTAAAAACCTTCTACATTCTCTATCACCGTAACAACATTATAAAAGATAAAAAGAAGACGTATATCCCATTCTGGAAATGTATGATGCCAAGATACAATAAATATACTGGTTTGTATGTAGCCTACATACATCTTTCTCGACTCTTATGTGAATGAATTGAAATTCTTTTAATCTTTGTACACATTTTACCCCCAATATACTTTCGAATAGATGTTACCATCTCAGGCAAGTCTTCTCCAATATGAAATTACGTCTAACACGCTATCGAAACAGAAAACTCTTGCAAAGTATCTAAAAGCTTCAGTGCGGCAAAGCAACAACAATAACCTTTTCTGGCTTTCAATTGTCATTGTTGTTGTAATAGAGCTTCACAGCTTGAGATACCAAAAAACACATTCGGATGCCAAAATGTGTTTCCACCACCATTTTTCCTTTTTCATTTACTCTTAGGGAATTCTTATCCATACATAACAGCTACGACTGAGTGTTTGGGGGTGTAAAGCAGCTGCCCAGTTCTTTATGAATTAAGAAAGAAGCTTCTCTAAGAGATCGTGTTTCATTATCAAGATATTTTGAGAACATTTAAAAGTGTAATGTTTTCTTTTATAATGACCTAACATTTGTACAAATCCCCATGAACAAACATATCATATCGTTCTTCTACTCTTCTTTAAACCTGAAAACGAATCTTCAGTTGCTTCCTTTTCCTTATTTTCCACCAGTAGTCCATAACGAAGGAAAGAAAAGGAACAAGAAAAAGAAAATATATTTTTGCCCTCTCTTGTCGTCCCTCCCCCGCCTCCACTCAATTCATTTTTCCAAAAACTCCCGAGTAAATGACGAAGGCAAAAACTCCGCAACAAATACATTCTTCTTTTGACGCCACTTTCTCCACCAAGCCAAAGAGAAAACCTTTTTACTCCTACAAATTTTTCCTCCTTCTTAATGTGAGTTGAGTTTCTTCGTTTTTGCTGTTGTTGTTATTATATAACAGTGAACCCTCATAGAGATAGAGTTATACCCCAAAAACAAAAAAGAAGAAAAATAGGAAACCAAGTAAGAAGCAGAACAAGCGAATATTGGGAAAGAAAAAAAGTTTGGGGGCTTTCATGAACGGCAAACAATTACGAAAAAAACGAAGAGAATGAATTAGGACTCTTTATCCCATTTCATGCGGGCGTTTTTTCTGTTCTTGTTGTTGTTTGCTATGCAGTGTGCTTTACTTTCAATCTGTTCCCCTTTTTTTTATTCTTCAATGTGATCCAAACGATAAAAATCGTCGGTTTGGAATCCATTTGTTGTGAGGTTGCGAATTGGAAATACTTTAAAGATTAAATTGATATAAAAAATAAGGAAAGTTTCAGATGATATTGTTGTGTAACTTTATTGAGATCTTTACCCTTGACTTGTTTACTTTTAAAATTTAATGAGAGATAATTTCGCAGCGAATGATCTTTAAGTTACTTAAATAAGTAATTTCAATGCTTCAATGGTTTTCTTTTGTTATTCTCTGCTTATCTCAGAAAGTCTTAAAAGTTCCAGATCATCACGTTAACACTTTTGAATTTGAACAATAGAATCCAGAAAGGAAGAGACGCAAGTACAAAAGAAGTTAATTAATTGATCGATACAACGTAGATTGAGATCTGATATTGGATAACGAAGCGGTTTTTTATGTAACATAGCTTCTAAGCTAATTATGGTCGCCGTTTCTTTATTCTTTTGAGGCTATTGTTATAGTAACAACTGCGAGGGTGGATCTTCAAAAATAACACGTAATTATCAAATTGAAGTGAAAGCAGCTTTAACATCTTCCGGTTCCTTTTATTTCACTCATTGTGTGAGTGTTTCAATGGCGTTTCTTATCTTATCTTCTCCTTCACAGACTTACAAGCAACATCACAAAGGCTGGTGGTTTAAAACATTACTGAAACAACCAAAAAATCTTCTTTAAAAATGTTATTAGAAAGAAGGAATAATTCCACCCCAAAAATATTCTCAAAGATATTCGAAATCAATTGAAATCAAAGGTTGAATGAACATCACCGATGTCTAGCTGACAGACAAGGAACTTTTCTTTTTCCTTTTCACTTCCTTTGGGCAACTATCTTTGACAAATGGGAGAACACAATTCTTCAATCAAACATAACATCACCATCAGAGTTTACCATGAAAACTTCAAGAAAAGAGAAACGAAAAAAATGGAAACCTCAATAGCACTATAGACGATGGTATTTATATCAAAGCAAGATACGAGTTGTTGTCAAGATGATATCACAACATTGAAGAAAAAACGATTTTTCTTTCAGAAAGGGCAAAAATCAAGCAAAATGGAATGAGTTGAAAGTAGTTTCCTTTTTTGGCTCGAAGAATTTCATCCAAGTTCGCTTTCTTTCTCTTTGTAACATTCTACCACATATCTAGAATCTTTAAGAACGACATAGGAAGATATGTGGAGGTGTTTCTTCTTAAGCACAAGAACTTTCCATTCACGAAATGGACCTGAAACACCCTTTTTCGTTTGGTCAACCCTCGTTTGAAAATGTAGCATCACATATCAGAATGCCAAACCAGAAATTCTTTCTTTGATCTAAAGGAAACTCGATAGTAATTGAAAACGTGGATCAATTTTCCGATATCACATTAGGTGAAATTGTAGCTCGGACGCTACCCTCGTTTTGACCGAAACCAGTATCACAATAAAAGATAATTTCAATTTTTCCCAGTCTCATCGTTGTTCACACATACGAAAACGTTTCTTCATACCCTCAAGAAAAGAAATCAAAGCCCGGACATAAAACATTTTCGATACTTCGAAATTTTCATTATGATTCTTAAAGAAATCACTCATTGAGGGACTTTAAATCACTTAATGTCTTTCCAGCGTCCAATTTTTTTGTTCTCTTTGATTTCTTCTGTTGTTCTGTTTTTGCGACAACGAGAGATAAAAAAAGTAACAGAAATATAAAAAGGAAATTATAGATTTTCCCTTCTTTTTTCGCTTCCTTTTTTTGTTACATCTACCATTGCTGGAAACGAGACGATCTGCTGCCAAGCATATAAGTAGTGAAAGTAAAAAAAAGAGAGATAAATGCGAACTTCGGTGTTCACATCTGTAATGAAATATTTAATTTATATTGCACTTTAGAGATGTAAATAATTTTCTGCATAGGCAAGAGTAACATGTGAAAGGATAATTGCTAATGAAATTAAATTTAAAACTTCTCTTACACATTCTGATCACAATAAACCAGACGTTCCGAAGTTTCTAACAAACACAGAGATTACTTCTCTTAAAATTCTTCTTATGTCTTGCTCCGGTTGTTAACGATTGCTGTTAGAGCCATAATAGATAAATTTTATATTATTTTTATGGATTGACAATTCGGACATCCACACACAGTCACTGTATACATTTATTCTGCCTCCGTCTCTCCACCCATGTAACCATTCCATTAACCCCATGTTCCCTGCTCGTAGCACAAATCTCCCCTCATATAGAGAATAGAATACAATTTGAAGTTTTCGAAGCGTATGCTCTACGCTCTCATAGCCGCTAACTCGGAAAATTTCACATATTTGGATGTTGTCGGATTGAGAAGGGGTGCAGTATTATTTTATTTTATTTTTTTTGCTATATCGCACTCGTGCTTTAATAAAAGCGAAGACCCTCATCATCAATCGGACAGTTTTTTTTGCTTTTATTCTCAGCAGCATATAACAACACACACTCCTTGCAAACGGACATCGGAACGAGCGACCGACCCGTCCCTTTGCCATTTTTATAAATAGAAGGTTTTTCTAGCTTTGCGCTTTGGCTTTGGCGTGTTCTATCATGTAATGAAGAAGTTTTTTTTTATTATTTTTCTGCTTTTGCCTCCACAACTCGACTATGCCAAACATTAGAGTTCTGTTGTTGCCTTTATAATTTTTTTTTCCTAGAAATACTTTTTTCTCGTAACAAGAAGAATGTGGGGGATGTGATGTGTATGGTGTGCGGTATTTTTTTTTCCTACGTTCAAGCTAGGATTGTACACAATTCACTTTTGCTTTGTACGAGAATGGAACAAGTTTAGAAGGCGAAAATAATAATAATATGAAGAGTAGGCAAGCAGCATCAGCAGCTTTGCTGTCTTTCCTTAAATTCAACAACATTTTCTTCAGATCGTCCCACAATGATCAACGAATAATTTTTGATGTGGCAAAACTTACGTACGAATCCAATCCGTTTGCCAAGCATTCCATTCCGTCCCAAATGGTGTTTTTAACGCTACTCTCGGTTCTGACGTTCTCTTCTTCATTTCGGGCTTTTCGTTATGTGGGTGGGCGAGGGTGTAGAATCAAACAGAAAAAAGGGAGCAGTGGGTGAACACTACGAGGAGAGAATGATGACGGTATGAGGTGCTCAACCTACCACCGACTTTCTCCTGAACGGCACCCGCTGTATTCAATGTCTAGATGTGGATATAATGGTTGAAAAGGGATACACAACAGGGGCGTCTTAGCAGCCCATTTTTTCCCTATTCTTTGAGACTCTCGATGTGCGCTGCTTTTATATGTTTATATATAGAGATGAAGGTTTATACAAAGAGATCTCAACTACATAACAGAAACTATTCACCAGATATCCAAAAACGAAAACGAAGAAAAAAAAAATGAATGCGAGAAGAAAAAAATAATCCAAAATACACGAAACATCCCTCATTCATTGCTCGGTAAAAATCAAGAAGAAGCGCAGCAAAAAAAGAAATGTTGTTGAAATTCTCTGGGACCGATGTGAAGGTGGATGAATTGGGAGTTTGAGATGAGGTGAGATGGAAAGAAAGGCACAAAACACGTGATCACCGCACCTTGCAGCAATAGCATTTCCCATCCCCAAAATGTCTATTATGAAGCAAGTCGTAGAGGTAAAAATATCGTAATTTTCTCTTTTTTCTGCTTTCACCTTAAATTCAATGGTCATGAAGGGTTTGTTCGTAATTGACATCACAGAATTTTCTTATAATTTAATAAGCAAATTGTGACAGTCAGTGATTTAATTGAAATTACTAACAGTTTCGCTAATGAAAATTAATGACATGAACATGACCTTCAAACTTTTCCCCTTTTTATGTAAATTACTGTGTGCCACTTTTATTTGTCCAATTCAAATAATAAGATAGCGGAAAAAGGGCGAGTTGTACCCTACAAAGTTGTGTGGTGCGCTCTGTTCTCTTATATGTATGTAATCAAATAAATATCCAATATCTGACCCAAGCACTAGCGAAATGTCGATGTCAATTTCTAACGTTTGTGTGTTTTCGAGGAAAAATCACTCCGAAGGGGGAAAATTCATTGTCAATTGCAATTAGATATTGCTATTTTTTTCTGTTCGTTTTGATTCTACTGAATGAATGAAAGAAAGAAGAGAAAGATTTTCATTTAGAAAGGAAAGTTATCCTATCGTCATCATAGTTGTCATTACGTTTCGTATTTTCTTTCAACATCAACTTTATTTCTGTAACCATCAACAATCTGATTGCATATTTACTTTTGTCGTCATCATCCAAATCAAAGAAATGAAAGTTGTTTCACATCATAAATGAGAAAAGCGTAGAAAAATAAATTTTCTAAAACAAATATTAAAGAAATGTTGCTTTAACTTACCAGATTGAGAGCGTCTTCGTCCGCAAGTCCCATACTTCTTGTCATCAGCAAATATGTGGAAGTAATTGGCTTGATGTCGCTTGTCGAATGATTTTGTTTATTACAATTTGATGCATCAATATGGTAATCTTCATCGACATTACGTTCACCGTTGGGGTACTTAGAAAAATTATTTTTACATGTTGTGTTGTTACTGGTTGTGTTCTCATCAACATCGTCAGAGTCATTTATTTGGTGATAATCGAAGGAAATGTTGTCAGGTACCATTTTCACCCTCTTATTGTAAACAGCACGTGTCAAAGCATCATGTGTTGTTGAATTGTTTTTCATTGAAGTTCTTGATGATGGCGATGATGATGATGAGTTGACCAGTCGATTTCTATCAAAATTATTTTCTTCTTCGTTAGGTTCTGATGACGAAGACGTCACTAATTGTTGCGTATCGGGAGATGATAAAGGCAAGGGAACATATTTCGAATGATGTAATGGTGGTGTGGTCGAGCAAGAGATTCGAACATTATTAATATTATTTCCATAGCTACTGCAGTAGTTCGCTTTACCCGCAACATTAATTGAAACATCCAAGGAATTTATGACGATGTTTCCAAGGCTTCTTTCACCCCCGACCGCTCTTCCTACGTCACTTATTGAATTATCTAACTCTGATTCATTCTTTATGTTGATATTAATGTTCTTCCTATGAACTTGTTGTTGCTGATTAGAATTTCCATTGTTACCGATTTGATTGCCGTCGATGTTTTCTTTGAAAGGCTCAAATGTCTTCTCGCATGATTGCTCTTGAATTCGATTCAACAGCGATGCCGCCGACGACTTCTCATAAAGTAAATGAAGCAATGACAAATAATTTTTCATATTTTTAGGATAATTTTCATCTGAAAATGATGCCGGATTTTTGGGTACGTCATCTGACAGATTCTTTTCATTACGTTGATGTTGATCGACTTCAGATATTTCCTGCACACTCATTGATTTCATGCTTTTACGACATTCGTTGCAATGTGTCAGAAATTTTGTCACAGCTTCACGTGGCAGGAATGCATAGCATTCAGTTATCTGTAAGTTAATAAAGCGTAGGCGTGGACAATTTCTATTATTCTATAAATTTTTACATCTTTATGGTTGTAACAAGATACAATGAATGGTTGCGAGTAATAAAATTTAATTGATGTTATATTTAATTACAATTTAATATACAGTAAACTCTCGTTATAATTAACTCTGAAGGGACCGAGAAAATGGTAATTATAACGAGAGAAAAATTATAACGAGAGAATTTCGTTCCCGTTTTTTTTCGAAATGATTTTCGAAACGTTAATTATAACGAGAGTCCACTGTAAATATCTCACATACTTTTCGATATGTTCGTTTTTGGCCGACATGACGTCCTTCACCTTCACCCACAGAGCAATGAACCTTATAGATGATGTTAAAAAAATATTCAACGACAGCAACACGCTTGTATGAAATATTATTTATATCCTATACATATAGAAGTTTATGATTCGTTACGACATGAAATTCGAATAAATGCTCAAAATAATTTCATTGACTTACAGTTTTGCTTGGAATAAAAAGCAGGCAGCCATCGTCACCAATTTGATTTTGTTTAACGTGTTGAAACTCAACCGGCAATTGCATCATGAATCCTTTTTGAAGAAAAATGTTAACGTTTAATGTTTAAGTGAGCGTGAAGAGAAACTTGTTGCACAAGATTGAGTCAGACGCAAATAATTTTATAATCAAAAAGTGATTTCAAATTCTCATGCACATTAAATTTATTTTCCTTTGAACCACAAATCACTTTTGCTACATGAAAAGCATCAAAGTTCTTTCCTTTTACAAGAACATAATTTAATTTTCACCTTTTGATTTCACCCAAAATCTGAATTTGGAACTGTCGGGACGATTGGTCTCCAAACCTTTCAAAGCGCTTACGATACGTGATTGTTTTTTTGATGTTATCGTCTTGCTTTTGGACAGATCACCGTATGTGTGGATGACCCAAGGCTGATAAATCTGCAGTTTTTCCATGAAGAGAAATCGAGAAAGGAAATAAGAAGGGAAAAGCAATTTTCATGTTGGCACATAGGGAGGGAAAAAGAGAAGAAGAAAAAATCGTAAAAATTAATCTGAGGGCACATCGTTTCATGATTAAATACTTTTCAAATGATTCAAGGGAATGAGACGACAAGAAAATATTTTCTCGGAAAATTCTCATCTTCGATACTAACTTGATACATTTTTCTTTTATTTTCGTCCCGGTCATCAACAATCACATCGACTTTCATTCTTTTCATATTGTCCCTCGCATCTTTCTCATCCAACATCAACCCACTCTCTGATTTCTTATCCCCATCGTTCACCATATTTATATTCCGTTTGCGTTCACTTTTATTATTTGTACTGGCACCGTTTATTGGATGTGAACTTTCATCATCAATCGACAATTTGCTTCGGTTCTGACCACTAATCAAAGCCTTTGCCACATAACGATTGCAATGACTTGTTTTATTATCACAATTAACTAACAAATCTTTCGACTCTTTCTTATTATTCTTAACTGAAGATTTTCTCCTGATCAAGTGACGCGATGTATCATTGAACACGTCGTCACTTTTATGCATTCTTTTATTATCACAAACACCTTCTTCCTTTAATCTTTTCCGTAAGTAGCAATTAATTTATGAACAAGAGACAAGAAATCAAGTCGGAATTCCTAGGAAATCTTTTGAACGTCTTAATGACTCGACGTCTTAATGAAAACTCAATTTAAAAATCTTTTACCATATTCTCGATAGGATAAAATATAAAAATGTAAATTTTTCCTTCCCCAATGACATTGTACATATTTAAAGATAAACATCTTTTGCTCTGCTCTACTCTCACTCGATAACGCCACCCAAATCATCATCCATCCCTTACACATATATTCCGATTAAAAGTTAAAGAAACAAAATTTTTCTTCTTCTTTTCGAGAGTTAAAACATTGAATTTAAAATATGAAATAAAATAATAATAATAATGAAAATAATAAAGAAAAGTGGGAGAGATAAACTTCTTGATCATTTCAGCAAGTTTCGAGCTTAAAGGAAAATGCAAATGATTTTTTTTCTAGCAACATAGGGAAGTCTAAGATTTTAACCAACAAGGAATAAGAAAGTTTGAAAATCGTCAACAACGTATTGAAGGGAGAAAAAGTAAGCGAGAAACATTTTTCAGATTAAAGGCACAGACAGCAGTGAGAAGGGAAGACGATGATTACGTTTTAAAGAAGCAAACTCAAACCAACACAAATTGAAAGAGGGTTGGGTGAAGTCTAAAAGAATTTGCTGAGGGAATGATTCACGTAAGTCCGTTCAACGATCTTCTCCTGGACTTGTTTCAATATATTTACCTACATCAACTTAAACTCCGATACAATTTAAATCCCTGACTCAGAAAAATAAAGAATGAAAGGAAGAATTTTGTTCATCACGTGCTACATCGAAACTAATTTTCATTCATTCAAAACCAACACGGATGGGAATATTAGAAGAGAGAAAAGAATGAAAATTAAGGCTGACTAGGTTGAGAAGATTAATTAACTTGATTAATTTTTAATTAAAGTTGTTAAGATTTAACCGAAAATATTTAATAAAATTAGTCAATCTGGTCGCCCTTCGATTAAATTTCTTTTTTGTTCTTTCGCTTACATTCTCACTTAAAAGCATTGAAATCAAGAAGAAGATAGGAAAACTACTTTCGTATATGAGGATGGGTTTATTAGAATATTTTTTAAGGGAACTAAAACGACAACGGTTCGTTTATGTTACCACTGAGAGAAGATTTCAACTTGGTTGTTGGTTTTAAATTTTTTTTTGTCAATTGCTTTACTCAAAAAGGCGTCCTGAAAGATCTCAAACCTCGAAAGAATTTCACTCTCATATTTCTCCTCTTTTGATTATATTAGTTCACTTTTCTTGCCTACCATCAAAAGGAAGAACCTTTAAAAGGAAACCAAACCCATGAAGAAACTTCTCCTTACATATTTTCAAAATGAAAGAAATTGAATTGAATGAAATAAAATAAAAAAAATAAATAGAATTCAAGGGACAAAGCTTTTCCCTTTATTCCTAAATATTTTCTTTTTTTATGTCTAGGAAAAGTTTGAAAGTTTTCCATGACTCATTCCATGTATTTTAAATGCTGGTCAAAAGTAAATGTAAAGAAACATAATTCGGGATTTTTTACTGAACAAGACAAAAAGAGAATCCCAATTTTAGCATCTCATTCTCATGCCCACTTGACTTTCAAGTTTCTCTCGAGATGATTCAACAATACCCTCAATAATTTCGAACTGATTTTCCGCATATTATACAAATATAAGAGCCTGCTTTTGTCTCGGGACTAGACTTATGCATGTGGTGAAGGCTAAAAGTCAATTTTCTTAGCTTCTGTTCTGATGAATTTTGTTTTTTAGATATTTCAATCGATTTTTACGCAAAATAAAAGGAAAGAAAAATCCTTTGAGAATCTCGAGAGAAAATTTGCATAAACGTTGAGAAAAGGAAACTGAATTTATGTACGACAGATGTTGTGATGAAACCTGAAGTCCTTTTAAAGTTTAAATTACCGTTGGGCTGCATACAGAATCCGAATTCCTGTTTTCAGATGTGCAGCTTGTGCTAGAAAACATTCTTGAATTCAAATCTTGTTCTTGAAGCTGCAGAAGTGGTCCAGTGGACGTTTAAACATCTGATAGAATAATTTAGTCCCTAATGGTCAATGCCGAATATGCAATCGTTACGAAACTCGTTATGCGAACGGACGAATGGTACAGAAGAAGGCATCTTTCTTCTCATCCTTCCCCCTTTCAACTTTATGCTTTGACCATCACACTCTTTACGTTTCTCTTCTCATTTGCATAATAAATTTTTCCTTTTTTTTATTTCTTATTTTTTCTTCTTTATTTGGCAAGCTGAGGGATAAATTTTTATTGACTATTCATTGCTTAACACGACGAAATGACGAATGACCATTAAAATGGACATTTGCCAATTGGCAAAATTAGGATTAAAAATGCAATTAGTTCGATCGATAAAGGGAATATTATCGAGCATTTATTGATTTGTGATTTACTCTTTGAAGTTTCTTTTGTAGGGGTTGCAGTTCAAACTTATCTGCTGTTTTTCTATCAATAAATGCATAGTTGGAAATTAAGATTAAGCTCTGAATCATGTCGATTTTTTTAGACATAAGAGACAAACAGTAAATATTTTTCTCTAATAAATTCCATGGACGGGTGATGAATAAAAACTTGATTCAGACAAGAACCTCATCTATTCGTTATTGACCTTTCATCTCTGAAAATACGTTACGTTGACCAACGTCTGGAAATACATGATTTAAATGGATGCTTACAAATGATGAGAAGAGTTTTACAAAGATAATCATGATTTAAATGGACCAAGCAACAATTTTTTACCCTTTTTATTTGACATCATGTTCGTAAGGAGAAACATATTTGAATAACTGACCATCCCCAAACATTTACGACCATGAAATGAATTGAAATGAAATTTCCGTTTTTTAATGTGATTATGGAAAATGTGGATGTGGAATTACAAATTTGCCTTTTCAACAATATTTTTTGTTCATAACATTTTGAATGCATTTTACATTTTCATAAATTTTATCGATCGGAAAATGAATTGGTAAAATGCTTTGCATTCAGTTGATTATAATTTAATTAAGTTTTTCTATTCTCATCTAAAATTACATGGACAATGTTACACACAATTGACAGCGAAGTTATGAAAATTATGGAATCATTTTTTGAGATAAATTTATTAGGTAATGAAATTAAACATTTAGCACATTTCAGAATCGATTCTTTCTCACATTGTTCATAAATTATGTCAATCAATGATAATTTCTAAATTAATTAATTTATTTACGGTATTTAGTTGGATATAGCAAACAATTATTTAAGCAATAATTTTAGATATATTACGGGAAATTAGAGAAATCGAGATTTTTATTTAACGGTTAAAAGTTCAAAATCATATTCAAGTTTCTTGTACGAGCATTTATGTCTAAGCAAAACACTTCAAATGTTACAATATTATTGAAGCTGCTGAATAGCTCACAGCATTTTCCAATGAACATTTTTTATGATTTTCTCATGAGAAAGCATTTTAAACAAAAACATGTTCATAATATTATTAAAATTATGATCGAAATTTGTTTTTGCAAAATCACCACAATAATTCAATTATTTGAACGGTGCTATGAATAGACAATTATTTGTGTAAAGTTTATCTGAGTATTTGCAGTTTAGTTAATAACATGTGCATATGCTTGATCAAATTTGTGCTCATATTTTGGCACGAGCAACACCAATTATGATGCTTTATTTGTAAAATACATCAACAGATTTCTAATCATATAAATGATGGAAAATAATTGGAAATTTTCTGTGAAAGAGGTAAATAAATAAATGACCACGTTCAAATATTTTTAAACATGAAAATGATTCGTCAAAGTAAATATTTTCAAATTTTAAAAACCTTACCCAGTTGGAATCGAGAAATTATTTCACACATTACTTCTTCCAGATAAATTCAGATAGTATTTGGATAGAAATGAAAAAGTAAACAATGGACAGTTACTGAAATGAAATTCGTCACCGTTTTTACGTTTCTAAAGTAATGATGACATCGATATTTCCGAAAAGGCCGCAGATCTTTTCCGTCAACAAAAGAAAAAGCAAACGATCGATAATAACTTTGTTTGCTTGCTAAACAGAATTTGGGCAACCGCTATTTGGCAACGGGTATATATTTGTAAGCGGGAGAAGAACATTATCATTCAATATTTCAAGCGTGAACATTGCACACTTAACTAATTAATTGAAAAGCTCACTCATCCTACAACACAGAAAAACAGAAAGAGAATAAAATAAATTAAATACAATGAAAATTTCGGTACTATTTTTGCTGTTTCTTTTAACCTTTGCAACTATTGTGAGTTGTTCGCCAATGCCAGATCCTGGCCCTCAATCAAAAGCTCCCAAAAACGGCAAAGGCAATAAGAGAATTAGGAAGGTTGCTCGAGGTAATTAATCTTACTATTTAGAAGAAACACCAAACAACATTTACAAGTGATTATTATTAATAGGTCCCTTCGACTTATTTAATCGACTGCTCTATAAATCTTTGCTTATCGATGAAAAGCATCACTACGTTCTTTCACATAAGTACGGATAAACAGGAGGAACAAACAAACTGCGGATGAATCCATTTCCAAGATGCATAACAAGTTGAACGAGAGTGAAAGCAACCTATGAAGAAAATGTGATAATAATTGGTGACTGAAATATATTTTTTCAAGATAAAATGAAGTTTCGCTAAAAGCTTTAGAAAGATAAAAGAAAAAGCTTTTGAAGTGTTGATGTACTAAAATGTTTATTTTTAATTTAAGTTACTGAATTAATAAAGTTTTAAATTTATGAAATGTTCTCTTAATGAAATTATTAAATTTTTCTTCTTAGCTGAAATTTATTTCAAGGTCAATCGTCATGTTGTTAATCAGCTTAAATCACGATTCGATTGAATATAAGATTGAAAGATATGAGAAACGTGTTAATTGTGTGCATATCTAATAATGACGAAAAGTATAAATATATCTGGTTCGATTTATTTTCTTTCCAGTCGCATCTCTTCGTCTCACTGATAAAGTACAATTTGGGTTGGAAATGAAATTAAGCGTTTGGACATCATTAGTGACTTTCACATTTTTAGCCTGTTTGGAAAGTTTAGTGAATTCAGTACCAGCGCCATCACCAAGCCCACAGTTTCCCTTTACAGTTTTAACAACAAAAAGTAAAGGTCATCGTAAAACTTATCGATCTAATCAAGGTAATTACAGCAATTTCACTTTTGCACGAATCTTACGCTCATAATTTTTTCATATCTCAAATCTTGCAGATAATTCTCAAGGCTTTTCATTCTTTAGGCTTTTAATTAATAAATTCTTTCAATTTTCACAACCCCAACATCACTACGAAGATGTAGGATTCGAGCCCGCAGGGTTTGATAGTTACAGTTTAGATGACGTTTACATTCCTTACGAGCACGGCCCACCTTTTATACACGAATAATTTTTACACACGTTTTTTTTTACAGCTGACTCTCTTGCTTAATTAAATTTGTTTCTTTACGTAGTCTTAAGGTTCTTTTTCTTCAATAAAAATATTTCACATAACAACTTACTCATCGTTTTTTTCCCAGCAGATTCAAAGCGCAAGCAATTATTTGTCGAAGGTTTTAACTCAGCGCTTATTACTCTAATTGAACTATTAAAGCTCCTTTCCCAGACACTCAAACATCAAAGAGTTCTTAATACATTACAAGAATACAAATCCAAATTCTTTTCAGTTGCTAAAAATTGTTTGAGTCAAATGTGTCGACAATAAAATTTTCTCACATAAATAATCGAAATGAAATATTTCTTAACATGTGTTTTGATAATTCTGATTCTGTTTATGGTGGAATCAGAGTCAGCTAGAAGTGGTGGAGGAGGTGGCAGAGGTCGTGGAGGTGGTGGTGGTAGAGGGTTTGGCGGTGGTGGAAGAGGGTTTGGCGGTGGTGGCAGAGTGTTTGGCGGTCGTGGATTTGGAGGTGGTTTAAGAGGTGGACATAGAACAATTGGAGGTGAAAAGATTCCTTCTTTTATCACAGTTTTAATTTAAATGGAGACAATTAATTGTTTTAATTTATGTAAAGGAGGCTATGGAGGTGGGAGACGAGTAGGTGTTATCGGCTCTCCAGGTTTCGTCGGTAGACGTAAGGAAAACTTTTCCGTACCCCTAGGCAACAAACTTACTAATTGATTTAAAAACTTTCAGGAAGTTACTACGGAGGAGGCATTCGACCTTATTATGGGAGACGATACTACGGAGGTGGAATTCTTCCTTTACCTGTGCCTGTTCCTATTGTCGTGGGAGTCAGACGATACGTTTATTGTGACGATGTTGGACTTGATTATGGTTATGGGTATCTTGTTCAAGGGACTGGTTACGCTTATGGCCCATGCTACTACTAAATGTTCTATAAATCCTTCAACATTTGTAAAAAATGTTTATACATTAAATTATTTATTTGCACACATCACAATGTGTAAACACAAAATTATTTTGATATTTTATATGTAACAATATGATTTATTTACTTTTAACTTCCAAAACCAGTTACACACAATGTTGATCAAGTACAAGCGGTTAAAGTATGAATTATTTATTCGCAACGGTTCAATTTTGGGCTTCCGTTGTGGGATTTTTAAAGATGAAAAAAAAAAAAAATGAACATCAATCTTTCGAATCTTGAAGTTAATAATTTTTATGATGTTTGAAGTTGAAAATTTCCCACAGAAGATTAAAAATATCTAAATAATTAATTTCGAAGTTGTTAAAGTGATGTAGCAAGGAACATTAAACATGTCGTCATGTTTTTGACTTGTCTTTTCCTCCCATAACTTTATATATGTTTGTTGACTTCCTTTTGTCACAGATGTTTTGAATAAATCTCAGTTCTTGTAAGTTCAGTCATAAAGAAAAAAAAGGTTGCAGAGCTTTGAAACTGAAGCACATTGAATTGAATTATTGGATAAATAAATTGAATCTCTGAATGCTGATGTTTGTTTCAAACTTGTTGTGATTTGATTTTAAATTTTTATATCTTTTGCTTCTTTTTTTATTATTTTGAATCTTAAACTGCATGCTTGAATGTTCGTTTAGTTCAATAAACTTTTGAGCTTTTCGTTTACGTCAGTGGTTGTTTCTATTTATTTAGCTCAATACTTTAGACTGGAATAAAACTCAGCTTTGCATTTCGTTTAGCAGCTCACTCGAAAGTAAACGACAGAGAAATAAGCAAACAAGGATGAATTCTCGTTTTAAAGCTTCAAATGTGGATCGACATTTGAAGTGTCTGCAAATCAACCAACTAAACTCTTAAAAATTTCAATAAATTTGATATCAAATTAAATTCCAATAATGAAGTTTTTGTTTATATTCATTTTGCTGGTGTTTCCAACATTTGTGTTAATTGATGGCGTTAATGGTGATGGCGGTGTGGCAATTGCGGCCGGAACTTACATAACATTATATAAAGCAAGAAAACGAATGAAAGAATCAAGAAGAAGACAGAGGAAAAAGCATCGAAAATTAACGAAAATCGTGCATTACAAATTGAACAAACTTTCATACCAAACATCATCAAGGGAGAGTGTAAATCATTTACCTTACCCTTACTACTTTTATAACGATACTTAAATATTTGACAACTTACCTACATGCATAATTATTAATTATTTTAACAACAACCAATATAAATTATCCAAAATAAGAATCAACAAGCAAAATTTATTCAAATTCGAACAACAAACAACAAGTGGCGTCATTTTGTTCGCCAACCCATTTTAAATTCATGGTAAGTCATGGGGAATTGATTGTCAAAACATTGAAAATCTCACTTTAAAAAGAAGAGGACAACAAAGAAAAAGTTTTGAATTCCATCGAGAGATGTGAAAGCTTTTATGGAACTTTGAGTAGCTTAATTATTTTCGAGGCTTTTGTTTTCTTGCTCCTGTTCACATCACAATTTCAATTACTGAATTAATTTATTATTAAAATAATGAATGAAAGATGAAGTTGAATTCTTAAGTTTCATAACAAGTAATTTGAGTTTCCGTTTGTAAATTTTCAGAAAGATTCGAAGAAGGGTGACAGATCATCGACATTAAAGGCTGAAGCATCAGATAGAACAAAAAGAGACGTGAAAAGGCTTTCTATGTATTTAGTTATAAATTCATGAGTGAATAAATAATTATAAAACATTTTTAGGAAGCTCCACAGTCTTCCTGTGGGAAATGATGTAATTTGATTAAGGCACTTTATCATTTAACAAAGATATTTTAACCCAATAAATTTAACATGAAAATGATATTTAAAAGTTCAACCCTTAAAGCCCCATTTGCCTTTAAATCCATCCTAATGAATTTTCAAAACAATGTGTAATTAAATTCAACCCACACTGATGAGCCGTTAGTGATATGTTCATTAATAAATAACAAACATGTTGAAGAAACATGTTTGAAAATATTAGAATACATTAGCAATTAGAGTGAAGATTGTAAACACCATTTACGATAACCATTCATGTTGTCATCACAACCTAACGATGTCAACTTGTGTGAAGTAGCAATTTGTGCTTTGTTGATGTTGTCAAAGGAATCATAACTCAGAGAGCTTCTTTTTTATGTCTTGAAGATGAAGAGATATGGACGAGCCGAAATAATATTCGAATGTGATATTAATTGAAGAGTTATTGACACCCTGTCAGTAAGTAGGTAAGTAAACAATCGCCATCAAGAGACATTTAATGGTTTTTTTATGTCATGTCTTTTATTAAATATCTCGACTGATTTTCAGTTTTTTCATTCGTTCATTCTGTGGTGTTATGTAGAAAGAATAAATTGGTCTTAAGAGAACCATAAAATTCTTTTTGTTACTTATCGTGAGTCAGGAGGTCGTTAAAACCTTTAATGCTTAATGGTGTTCGCTTCATACATTTAATTTCCAGAAATTATAATTAAACAATATCTCGTTTTACTGATTTTCCTTCGTTCATATCTAAATGTTATTAAATTTAATCATGTTGAATGACACTTATTAAGAAACTTTGAAAACAAAACTATTTCAAAATGACATCTTTAGAGACGTCTCTGACCGAGTTCACTGGAAAGAACAAACTTTCTGAATATTTAGATGGAAAGCATTCAAAATATGATTCAATATCATTGCATGAAATATCGTTGTACGCACTGAGCTAGAAATTTATTTAAATTTATTCATCTGGTGGGAGTAGAGTTTTGATTCAATAGCAATTCGTTGAACCATGAAATTTCCATGCAGAAGTGATGAGAAGTTTAAAGATCATTGAAACAATTTTGTCAAGAAACTTTAAGTTTGCAAACTTTCGAGACAAAAATGAAATTAATTCTAGGAAAACTCGTTAAAAATTATTATTAATAATGAGCATAAACAGACTCTGGTATAAATAATGTTTCCATCTAACAAGCTTAAAACAGATTTTCTCACCAATAAGATTTGTCTTACGGCTTATGAACTCCAAAGAAAAATATTGTTTCGAACAATTTAGAATGAAAATTGGAATTAATGTTCACCGCCTCATGAAATGTGAACGTTTTTAGTTGATTGACTTAATTGAATATCTGACATAAATCCTGAAAATGATATTTAAGATACTTTGATATGATATTTAAACAATTTGAGGTTGATGCTGTGACATAATGAAAAGCAAAAACTGACCATCGAACCTACATAACATTCTGAAATGCTTTAAACCAGAAATAATAGGTATCAAGTTATATTATGAATTCAAAATTATCGAATTAACTTTATGAACAATAAGGACTCAACCTTTAGCTCAACCGAATAAAATTATTTATGAGTGTAGAAGAAAAACTTTCGAAACGTTACCTTTTTCATGAAAAACAAATAATCATTCCTTAATCTGTTTTCATACATCAAAGCTTTTTTACTTTCCCATCATCTTTTAACTCGGACATCACTTTGACAACACTGGCAATGAATAGTTGAAATGTGGAATGAAATATGATGAGAAGCAACCTTCGAGTTATTGAGATAAACATAATTTTATTACCATAGAAAATGTATTTTTACATCTTTTTATGTAGATAATAATCCCTTTGCAGAATAATTTATGTTTGAGGCTTCATTCATAATGAACGAAGCGGATAAGGGGTTAAATATGAAACAAGAAAAATAACATTATTTATGCACCATTTTTCATCACGAAGCATGGCCTATGATTGACAGCATGAATTGTAGCGATATACGTGATGTGATTTCGGTCTGTAATTGCGCAAGCTTTTCATTTTATGACGGAACAAAACATAAAATGAAAAACTTGGATTTTCTAAAGTAATCCTACATAAAGCTTTTCTATGACTACGATGCTAGATTTGAACTCGACGGCAATGATATCCTTAAAAGATTTTCAGTTGAGATATTTATGCTGGGATTATTTATTTCAGAAAGAATCACAAAAAATGTTTTTTATGTTTAAGACACACTCCTGAGACGTTAAAAGACTTACATAAGATGAGTAGAAAAGATTAAAGAAATTCCATGTCATCTACCATTTGAAAAGAATGAATTCCTTTATTAGACTTTCTCTAGATTTCAAAATAATTTCTCACAATGTTGTGCTTTGATCTTCAATGGATATTCTCGTTTAACGAAAATCTACTTAAATCTAATCAAAAGCATATTTTATATATTCTGTAATTTTAAAACTTTATTAAGATAATTTCAAAGCTTTCTTCAACTGGTTCAATACATGACTCAACTTATGTTAATCTTTCTAATCAATAAAATTAATTTTAATTAAAATTCTATCAACGTATAAATGATTTAATGGATGAAGGATTTCAATAATGTCTCTCTAAAGTATTTCTAATCATAAAATCACAAAACTTTCAAATCAAATTTATCAACTATCCTAAATTTTCTTAGTTAAAATTTTCATGTTTCATAATTCGAGGAAACTTTCTATGAATGTAAAGACTCACAGATCACAGCAAATAGAAAGAGAGATGAATTTAACAATTTTTTGAACTTTGAAGAATTTATGTATCTACATATTTGTATGTACTTATAATGAATATTTACAAAATATTTAAAAGTTTTAAATTTACAGAAGAAAAAGTTTACATTTCTTGCTATTCAAAGCTCTCTAAGCAGAGAAACTTTTTTCATATATTTTTTAAGGTCTCTAAGCTTGATTCCTAAACAAGATTTAAATAACTTTTACTTCCAAGAATCCATTTCTATTTAGATTCAAATTGATTTGTTTCTAAGAATCTACGATCCTACATTTCAAACTTTTCAAAGACTTATTTTGACAACTATTTCCAAGAATGAATTTTATTTATTCAAGGTGATTAATGAACTCTTTCAGGAAAAGGTTTGCATTGAAAAAGGTGGCAAATGTTTACACTATAATCGAGAATAAGTTAATTTAATTCAACGTCAGGATCTTTTTCCTTTTTATTTTTTATTAATATACTTTTTGCTGCAACGGTGTTTGAACGAGTACGTGCTGGAAATGATTAATTTCCTTCTCTTTTTTTTTGTTTCAAGTAACTTGAATTCTTTTTGGACCCAGTTTTGTTTTATGCAAACATGCGTCAACTTAATTGCTTTGCTAAACTCAGTAATTAAAAGAAAGATGAGGTCATAAATTTTCGCTTATGTTGAAAGAAGAAACAGTCTGTCCAATGTAAGCAGAAGGATTTTCAGCTTAATTAATTTTAATTAGGAGAAGTGAAAGTATTTACCTACTCAATTTGTCGTATGACCTCATCATTGTGAATTTGAGTCCATGACATTCTCATTTCAACTTTTATCAAACTCGTTACAGTTTTTAAAAATCGATGAATCATTTGCAAGTTAATTTTCTCTCATTTTTATTAAATTTTGTTATCAATTTAAAGTGCTGCTAATGCGCTGCTTACACAAAAGAAGTTTATGAGTATATTTCGTTCTTCAACCTTCATAAAATTTAAAATAAATTGCTTTTCCTTATCTTTCATGTTTTTTTCCCCGTAAAATGAAAGGAATTCTGTGTGAAATAAATGTATAAGTAGATATTTGTATGCAATGTAGAACCATAAAAGAAGATCTTTTTATAAAAGAGTTGATTAATGAAAGCAAGAACTTTCCTTCTTTTTTCTTCGTAGACAAGCTCAAGAATGTGTGCTTAGAGCTTGGCGCATTAAATTCTTTTGAATTTTGAGTTAAATAAATATCAGAGAGACTTTTGTTCATTTAGTCTGAAAGCCTGAGAATAAATAAATAAAGAATATTTTTCTCTTTCATCCTAGGTATGATATTCTAAAGCAAGAAATGATACAAATCTGTTTCATCTTTCAGCTTATTCGTTTCATATTTTTCTTCTTCAACAAATTTACTCCCACGATTATTCAGTGTTTCTTTTAAATGTAGATAATGTCGAGCAGATATGTGTTTGCTTTATGTAAATATGTTTTTCATCTTTAAATATAATTTATTTTTTCCAATCAAATTGCTTTTACGCGAGGTTAAAAGTGATTTGCTTAACATGTTTCTTCTTGCTCTGAGATGGAAAATTATAGCTTTCTGTGAAGTTAAGTAGAATTTCAAATTGTGAAAACAAAATCTCAGAGAATTAATGAATTAAATTTGCTGTATATTTTTGTTTAATTTAATTCTCATCGCGTACCTTCATCGATTTTTCTTTGGCACATCACATCATGACTCTTGAGATTGCATCTGAACCGTGAAGCTGTTATTGATTTTCCCTCATGAAACGTTTAATTGTTTGCAGCGTAATGCTCGCAATCTTCTTGGGAATTTCTGTTTCAAAAACATCAGCTTGATTGGATTCATTTCAATTGCAGATTCTGATAGCATTTGAGGTCGATTGAGCATTAGAAAATCGCTCATTTAAACTTACTATTTATAGAACTCGTTTGCTTTCTAATTAAATTTTAATTGATTTATTTTATTGTAATATTTAATAGATTCTGATGAAGGTCTTAAGATATCTTATCAATTATATTGTCTTTATTGATTATCATTAATGAAGAAATGAATTTTAAGCAATTTATCAATGCTTTCTATTCTTTTAAGCATTTTACAATCTCCTTAACTTGCTTAATTTATTTAATGAGATAAATATAAAAGTCTTTTAGTGATTTATTTATTAGATTTCAGATTATACTTTCAAAAGTGTCACTAAACCGGCAACAATAACGTCGAATCTATTTTATATTTAATCCTTTCAAGCTCTCACAACCGAAAAGTCTGCTTTACGATTCAAACATGAACAGATGAAGAAAGAAATAAAATAAAAATCCGACACCAATATCACGTTTAAAAGTTTAGTTCGATTGCTCTGCAGATCCGCCGTTCCCCAAGCCCGATTTCACCTCGAGTGGAACCTGTGGAATTTTTTATTTATTTTGGTGGAAGAAGGAAGAAAATATAAGAAAAACGCTTCACGATTAAATCATAAATAAAACATGAGACGCCCGCCCACCTGTTTCTTGAAGCAATCCTCAAAGAACAACGTCATGGATCGATACAAATGTTTCTTTACACCAGCAAGATTGTGACCTTCATCTGGATAAATCTGCTGCTTAAATAGAGCTCCACGATTCGTTAAAGCTTTTGAAAACACCATACTCTGCATAAAGTGCACATTATCGTCAGCTGTGCCATGAATCTAAGCCAGGAGAAGAATAAAACAAAAATATTTCATTAATATTATGAGAAATAAACATGATGGTGGTTTGGATTTAAATTTGCTTCTATTTAAATTAAGATTTATATTCTCACCAAGAGAAATTGTTTATCCTTTAGTTGGTCGACGTGCTTTGATAAATCTCCTTCTTCATATCCCTGATAGTTGTCGGTGAGATTTGGCATTCCCATTAACCTCTCGGTGTAAGTTGAATCTAATGATGTGGTTGATTTTGATAGGATAACAAGGATTAAATAAATAAATTTTCAACTCACCGTAAAGCTTCCAGTTAGTAACCGGAGCAACACTAATCCCACATTGAAAAATAGACGATGTCGAGAGAGCAAGTGCGGCAACATACCCGCCATATGACCAGCCTTAGTTGGAATGAATAATTATGATCATTGTCGACATTATCACGTGATTATATAAATTTAAGGCTCACCCCAAATCCCCATTCTCTTCTTGTCAACAAAATGTAGCGTGTCTCGAAGATATTCTGATACTTCTAATTGATCTGAAACCTCGACCGTCCCTAAGCGACGATAAACTTCATGTAGAAGCTGATATCCTTGGCCACTGGAGCCGCGTCCATCAATTTGAGTTACGATGTAGTCTTTCGTACCAGCTAAATAAGTATTCCAATCTATGCGCCATTTGTCAGTTACAAGCTGTGTGCCTGGACCTGAATAAACGTGAACAACTGTCGGATATTTCGTGATTTCATCTTCCCGTAATCCCGGAGGTAAATAGAGCCTGACTTGAGCATGATAACCACCCGAAATCATAACTGGAAATGTTCTCACTTGAGGCATTGCAAGTTTTGAAACGCGTCGCTTGAGTTCGGTGTTGTTTTGAAGTAAATAAACGGGAGTGATTGGATCTTTCTTTGGATCGATATTAAACTTGTATATCCATGTTGTTGGAATTTCGGGACCTAAACATTCAATTAAGGCATATTCATTGTTGTTTGGTGCAAATATTGCTGTAAAATATTGACAACCACTTGGTAAACTTTCACTTGTTGGATTCTCGTCTGAATTGTCATTGTAAGAGTTGGAAATGTTTTCTTCAACACTCTCAGTTTCGTAAGAGTTTTCAACTTTAGCTGCTGCTGCTGCAGTCATTCTTGGATAATCAGGGACGACTGATGAACATGTTAAACACGTAGGAGCTGGTAAACCAACTCCCATAGCTGGTGGTGTTGCATTTACTCGATAAAGATGTTGATGACTTGGAAAACTTTCTGGTGTAGCCATGTAATAGCTGCGAAAGAAAAACAGAAGTTTTCAAACTAACTTCATACTTGCCATTAATTTAAACTTACACTAAATTGTTTGTCTGATCCCAATTAACAATCTTATTCACATCATATTTCCCATGTGTCAACGGAATTATTCGCTTCTTCGATATCTGTACATGAATCAGATGTCGGTAATGACCTAAATCGATAAACACATCACGAAGTGAGTTAAAGAAATTTAAATTTATTTATCAGGATATTTATTCGTTTATTGCTTGAGTTGTTTGTAAATTTCGTCACAATCTTTCATTTCAATTATCTAATTTGAAAATTTCATCAAAAGATAACAAAAAGGAGAAAACGTCATTTGAGAAGTTTTGGGTCGTCACGTACAGCACATACACACACACATCGTACGACCATTCGCAATTTGATTTATCATTGGAGGGTGAAGGAAAGCATATTTTACAGTTCAATGAAGTCATTTAACATTTTTATCTTACCTGAGTTTCCCTCACGTACCGGTGATATTGCAATGTAGCTGCTAACGTTAGATGAGAAATACGGAATTGATAATTCATCGATCCATCCACGACCATCGCCTGAAGTTTTGTGAGTCTAAGGAAAACGAGAAGGCGAATGAATCACTTACTTGCTGATGGTTTTTGATATCTACCGGAAGTAATCGAGTTGAAGTTTAGGGGAAAACTTACCTCCTGGCAATACCACATGGGACTCTTACACAGCGTGACGACCGATAAATTTTGAGCTCGATTCATCCATACGACGCTGACTTCAGTTTGTGAAACCCATGCTGCGCTTGCAAAATAATGTTCTCTGAAAATGATAAAAGTTTAAAAAGAAGAAATAAAGCAGATATCAATATTCCATGTCGCAATCATAAATATTGTCAGTGCAAAGATGACAGTTGATGATTATGATTGATCGGAACAATCGACAGCATCATTCATCATTTCGATATTCTCAACAACTTCCCGTCAAACATTCATAATAAATTGAGCGAAAGAACGTTAAATGTTTACCTGTGATGTAAGATTGGCGGTGGGGTCAAATCACGCGTTCGTATGCTTTTTGGATCCGCTAAGTCAGCGACACGTAATGTTATTGTCGGGTTGTAAATCGTTCCTGGTTTTGGATACCTGAGGGTGTAAAGAAAAAAAAAGTTGGCAAAGATTTATTGGCACGAAGAGAGAACGATAGAAAAAAGAAGTCAGAATAAAATAAAATAAAACTTCGTTGAGAGAAACAGGTTGAAGCGTCTTCGCTATAAGTGCTTGTCGATTAAAATTGAAAGAAAAAGTTCATCGTTTCTATCGTCTTTTGTTGTGCTTTAAAGTTTTCCGTAAACACGAATTCTCAGGAGGATATAAAGTTTATCTTCTGCTCATCTTATACAGTTAATGTTTTTCAATTAAGTTTTCCTCAAGCCGGTTTTCTTCTTTTATCGCAAAGTCAACATGGGGAAAACTCATTTTCTCGACAATATTTTTCAGAAAATAAAAGAAGAAAATTTAACAATTCTGCGGTTTGAGTAGATAAATATCTTTGTAAATATTTTCTGCAGCAGCATTTGAAAACTTGTCTCTTGTTTAATGCGAAATAATTTGACATGTTTAATTTTTGTGGTTTTCCACTTCATTCTGTATTTTTCCTCAAGGAAATAAATCATTCCTTAAATTAAATTTGGGTTTGAAAAGCTGTTCGAAAACTTTCCCCAGGACAATTACTGTAATTGCGTGAAATTTCGAAAGCGTGCAGAGGTTTCAAAACCCGAGAGATTTAAATGATACAAAAAAGTTCGTCAAATCTAAAAATATCTTAAAAAATTTTCATTACAATCTTTGATGAAAAATTTCCTCTGAATCAAAACATTTACAATGTTGATTAAAATAAATCCCTTCTGTTTGCTTTGGAGTCTGTCGAGAAATATTGAAACGCCTCATGATTACTTACAATCTAAACAAACCATTTGAAAGGCCTCAGGTTTGCGGGATATTTGCAGAGTAAATTAATTGTAATCATTTGGCAGTCCGAATGTAATCATTTTGATTAAGATACACAAATTTGTGTGTCATTTAAAAGCTGTTTAATTTAAACTTGTTTTT